AATACCTAGGTTGTGTGCACTTATGCGGAATCTGGTTAAAGTGGTGCATTTATCTCTATCTTTAATTGTATCTAAGAGTGTCAAATAGTTTTTCTTTTAGTGAGGATGACATACTACTACAGAGTGGCATATAATTTTTCAGACTAAAAATAGCTTTCTGTGCCCTTTCGTATAAGTTCAATTGAGCAGCTGTGAAATTACCTGATTTTGTAAAGAGAATACCAAGGTACATGTAGCTGGGAACGATTGTTAACTGACTGTTATTGAGAAAGAATTTTTCTTTGCACTGCACCTGGTTGTTCACTACCTATCCCTTGCTATTGAAGATAATAATTTTTGTTTTTGAAAGATTTATAGAAAGACTCCATGTAAAACAGTAAGCTTCAATACGATTGAGACTATACTGTAAACCAGAGGCACTAGCTGACAGCAGTACAAGATCGTCCTCATAGAAGAGTCCTGTGACGGGTTTGTTGTTTATTAGCGGAGAATCACTTTTGACATCATCAATGAGCTTTAACATAACATCCACAAATATATTAAATAAAAAGGGGCTGAGAGTGTCTCCCTGCTTGACACCTTTCATCGTTTGAAAACAGTCAGTTAAGCCACTGGGAGTTTTTACACAAGTTGTAGCCTGATCATACATTGATCAAATGTTGGCATAGAACACTCTCCCTACATTGAGTTTTAATAATTTATAGAGGAGACCTTTCCTCCATACACTATCAAAAGCTTTACTCATATCTACAAAGCAGGCATATGGACGTTTCCTAGATCGTGTTTACTTTGTGACAATAGCTTTTAGGACAAATAAGTTATTGGCGGTGCTATGTCCTTCCATGAAATCAGTTTGGTTGGGTTGAGGGACACTCTGTTGTGAGCACATCTTTTTCAGTCTTGCAAGCAGAAAAGAATTATATAATTTTCCTACACAGCTTGATATAGAGATACCGCGGTAATTGTCTACATTACTGGATCACCAGACTTATGGAGGGGAACAATGAAACTTTTATTCCATATTTTTGAGTATTGTTTACTCAGAAATACAGCATAGTTTATGCAGGACTTGTACTATGATTGCCGTATTCGCTTTCAACATTTCGTTGATGATTCTATCTTCACCCGAAGATTTGCCTGTCCCTAGAGTCTTAATTTGCTTAAGTATTTCGGCCTGTGTTATTTCATGACAGTCTACGCTGGAGAGCGCACTTAAAAAAATTTCACCTGAGTCTTTTGACCACCTATATTTTGATGGTACAGAATGTACGTTGCTTGTATGTGGATTTTTCTGGGTAATATGACAGGGTAAAATGTTTTGAAGTAGGCGATGATCTGAGTAGGGGGTCAGGTCCTCTACTGTAAAGAACAAAATTCTTCTAGCAAGTTCAGAGCTACGCACCACAAAATCTACTGTGCTGCACCCATTAGGTTGATAGCTAGTATACCTTCCTACCAGACCTCCAATTTTCGTTCCATTTAAAATTCTCACATTACAAGTTTTGCATAAGTCCAGGAGTTTCTTACCAAAATCGTTCACCTTGTGAGAGTCCATATTGTTTCTAAAACCTGGTAAATCACAGGAGTAAAACCCATTAGCTATGGGTACATGATTTACAGAGTCCTCCTGAGTGAACATTTGTATAGGCATTAAAATCAACTTAAACAATCACAACTTGAGTATATTTCCTCATGGAGAGAGTCAAACATGTCTACATTGGTGGTACACTATAGCTAGAGTTTGCTGGACTGATATAAACAGTAAGTAAAGTGATATCCTTGCACGTATGAAAAAATATTTTTAATACTAAGGATGTTTTCACTTCTACATTTAAGTTTTTCTATACCAGCACTAATGCACTTTTTAACAAAAACTAAAATTCCACCCGAGTTTCTGCGCGCAGAGTTGGGCTTTGACTTTCTATTGCTATGGAACATAATAAATCAAGGAAGAGATGGAAAATGTGTATGATCAGTCCAAGTTTCAGTTAGGGCTACTAAATCGCAGCGTGAAATATAATTGACGAAATAGGGGCCCTGGAGTTTCTGTCCCAGTCCCTGTACATTCCAACACCCTATTTGTAGACTTTCCAACGAAGCTGTCTTTTTCATTTTGTCTATTTTTTTCTGAATAGATAACATACCCGGCGTCTCATTGACTAGTTTCTATCATTGTTGTGTGCAACTGAATATAAATGGGATCATGCGGCACAACTCGTTTGTATGTGACCTATACTCATTGACCCGCTGAGACATCCTTGGCATTTTGTGGGCTGTATGTCCAAAATGCCATCTCCTTGAATCTGATTTAATGGGCCTGTATAGCTGTTGGTTTGGTGTGAAGAAGCGATTGCTGTCATTCAAACATTCAATGTCATCCTTTCTGAGACCTAACATATGCTTTGTGTGTAGAATTAGTCTAGGAAGGCTGCAGCGATCATATAGATGGACGGCATCGCCGAGGACATCACGGCTTATCTCCCCCATATCATTGAATACAACTATATCATTGCATTGAAATTTTACTCCTTTTGTGGCACATAGCTTTTCTAAGCTTCTGTTGATCTTGTTTACCATGTAGTAGGCCATGTCACTCCTGGGAATAATACTTGAGAATATAACGCTGCTATTTGTGAACTTTCCTTTTACTAAATTAATGAGGGTTTCATATCCAGTGAAGAGCTTGTCTTGACTCCCTTTCAAATCATTTGTCCCAGTGTGGATTACGACATGATCAAAGTCTGGAGTACCGTTCATATTTTCCATGTAGTGATGCATTTCACTGGCACCGCCCCTGACATATATGTGCTCTAATGACACGTTGTTGCTGGATGCCCTGTTGCAGTCAAGGCAATAGAATATGGAATCTGACATGATAAGGATTTTTTTCAGTTGTTTTTGTTTATTTGTATCATTTCTGCGTGCTTCCCCTGTCCTCGCTTTCCAATTTATTTCCTTCTGGGGTTTCTTTATTCTCTTTGAGCTCTCTTTGACTGTCTCTGCATATGACTTCTTCGGGGTAGGGATTTCAGCATCTTCTGTTCTCTCATCTTTTTTCATGCCTTTTACTGGCTTATTCGTATCACCTGTACTCTTTTTCGCAGTGTTACTTTTCTTGGATGCTGCTTTTGATTATCCATCTTTGTCTGTACATTCACCTTTACATTCACCTGTTGGTTTTGTGCGGGCATCCACAATGTACCGTTTCTTGTGCTGAGAGGCTGATTTGGATCCGACTTGGCTGTCTTGTATCACAGAATCTGGGTGTAACTCTTTCCTTTCTTGAAGTTTATTTTCCATTCCAAGACAGGCTTTAGTGAGATTGTCGGATGTAGTTTTGATGTCTCGCATTTCTTTCTCCATATTTGAATATTTTTGGGTGATTGAATGTATTTCTTCAGACTGGGTTTTAATCTGCTTCAGTTGATTTTCTATTTCAGAGCACTTTTTGTTCAGGGAGTTTTTTCAGATTGGGGTTTCATAAGTCCCATTAAAGTATTTGTATTGTTTGCTTGGATTTGTAGAAAGTTATGCATTCGCATTATTATTGCAGCATGACTTGCTTCAATGTTAGACAGGTTGTTGTTAACAGTTAAGAAACTTGTCTCTCATGCATGCTTAGTGGCATTTGCTCTGTTAAGTAGCACTTTCTTTTGTTGTGGTGTAATTTTGGGAGTCATTGGAGTGTTTGGACTTATGCAAACATTCTCTCTAATAGCACCCTTTGTTTTCATATCCTCCCACTCACTGATGTTGAATAGCTTCTTAATTGTGTCAACCTGTGGTCTAGGACTCTCTTTTGTCTCTGCACCTGTGTGGATAGATTGAAGAGATGGGCTGGCTAGTAACTTGTCTGATGTATGTCCTGCTTTCACATGATCAGTTTTGTTGTACTGTCCCTCAGCTAAACTTTCTACTGTCTACTGCACTGTCTCTGTCTTTCTCAATACTTTCATTCTGATCTCTTTTATGATCTGTTGTTTCAGCAGATTTTGTTTTGGAACCAGATCCCTCCTTTTGAGTAATCATTTCCTCATATTCTGCACTTGAATGGTACATGTAATACTTTGTACTGATTTTGAAAATGGACGCGATTGTAACGCACAGCAATCCGTTTTTGTCACCCATCAAAATTTGCGACGAAGAGTAATTTTTGTTTTTCTCTAGTGTGTGTGCCATAAACCCCTGATATGACAAAAAACATGACAATACTTTTCTGAGAGCTTTCTTTTCTATAATATACAGCTGCAAAACGGACTGGTATGTCTGTGTCCCAGATTAAAGCGCTATTTTAATGTCAGTTTCGGCTAAGAATTAAGAAGTTCAAATACACACCATTGTTTGGAAACACCAAATTGTCTGTTATAATAAGACAAACCCACCCCCTTTCACATGAAAGCTCCCCTATTGTAATCCAACGCAAAGAAATATTTTGACAGACTTTTAAAAAATAATCTCACCCTGCTGTTACCCAGTATCGTGGTCGTGCAGATAAATATAAATGTTTTAAAAAACCAAGCCACTGCTCAGAACGGTAGCTTTGTACAAGAAACAAATAAATAACAAACCACATTTTATACGTTAACTATGATAATTGTCATCAAACTCTCTGTGTCAGTTTAACTATAGTGGAAAACGAGCTGCGACTGACATACACCACCTAGCTGGCAGGCGTAGATTTACGGCTATGCTAAGACCGACGTAACCACTATTCCAGTTTGGTGCGTAGGATTGCGCTGGAGTTACGCCGGCGCAACTGCTACGCCTTACTTACGACCAGTTGGTACAACCGGGCCCGGGAAACTATCTTACTGAACAAATTACAAAGTAACCCCAAACATCCCTCATGAATTATGTATTTAGGTTTAACCAAGTGGTTACCAAATAACGTTAATTAAATTTAAGGAACAATACATGATGGCTACGAGCTGCAGGTATCTAAACATATTTGCGTGACAGACTCAGAGCAGTACAGACAGAAAATATCTGAGATGACTTACGGGTATCCCAACCACCTGCATACCACACGTGCAGCGTCCAAATTCCAACCATCGTCACAAACAGTCCCCCACTGTCCGCGGTAAAAGACCTCCACTCGTCCTTCATATGCATAAAGCCCGCTAACCAGACGCACACTGCGGCTACTCACTGATGGTGTGGGCGGTAGCGTTGTTATCCACCCTGTTAAAGAGTGATGGATTTGGACTTTTTCTCACAACAGTATGTTAAGCCTCTCTTCTGGTCCTCAAATCAAATTCGGTCCCTTGGTTCTAAACTGTTTACAAGAAGCTCTGTTCTGGTCCTACACCTGTAAATGTCCATCATGACGTGTTCAAACGTGTTCCCAAAACGTGTCCAAAGCTGACTCTGTTATGTTCTCCAATTTTTCAGGTTTAAAACTTTTAGAGGCTACCAAAAAACGTATTTAAACTGAATGTTAGAAAGAAATGCATTACAACTATTTAAGTTCGTATTGTATTTGCTATAATATATTCTCACATTTTTAAAGAACACAAAAATTTTGCTGCGTGACAACCTTTAGGATGCTTAATACTACTACAATATTTATATGGCGTGTTCTGCATCATGTGTTCAAGACATTATAATTCGTAGGTGATTGTGTGTGTGAGTGTGTGTGGGGGGGTCTTCACTCGCTGTTGGTGCGTCTTAAGCCTGTTAACATCATGACCCTTTAAAACACCGCTACAGATGTAGACACTCTAACCCAAAGATATTACGTTCAATGTTAAAAAACTTTTAACAAAAAGTGAAAATGTGAGCCACACATATTTAGCTTAATATCGGCATAAATATTTGACATGTCCCATTATTTTCCCTGGTTTATGTTATAATACATGTACCCTCTAACAGGGAAAGCAGCCAACAGTTATTAAAAGTGATATGAAACACTTATAAAACGTTATGTAAAACGTGAGCGTCGGTAACGTGGCTCAAGCGTTCACTATCTTGAGGAATGATTCCCCCGAGTGCAGTTGATAAAAGTTAATTTACGCTCTCAACTTTCATATTAAAGAAATGAGTATTTATTACAAGAGGTCAGGGTGAGAGGGTGAGCATAAGAGAATAGCGAATTATAAGCAATATACTAGGGAATACCTTGCAATTTATCAATTTATCTTTTTCAATTCATTCCGAGAAGTAGGGCCTATCACCTTACCCGCCGATCTCGCGGATACTTCACATGGGGCACACGGCCGTTTAAACCAATAAAAATTGGTTTTTAATAACCCACACCCCACCCCACCGAACGTCATTATCATGTTTCCGAATTAAAACTATATACCAAAGAAAGTAATTTAGAGGCCAAATTAGAGACAGCCAAGGGCACGTTTCGGTACAGTATGACTATTAAAAACTGTAGGTTTAATTTAAACAGAGACTATCAATGAACACATGAACACACAAATTCCTACAGTATGACACAGCTGACCATGTGCGGATTTGAGTGACGGCGCAGGTTTACATATATGGCGAATACCCGTAGATAAAAAGTTTTTACTGTTGCTTTTGGGCCATGGAGCCAATCCAAGGCAAAACAAAAATATTCAACGTTAATTGTACATCTGATTTAATTGTTCGAAGGCTTTTTTCTATTCTATTCTTTATTTTATTTTGCGCCTTTTATCTCTTATGCAACTATTATGTTATGAAATAAAGATCTGAAATAAAAAAAAAAAAGATTTCAAGTTGAGCCTTTCTTTTGATACATTTTATCATGTTTCGTGATTATATAGCTTGGTCGGTTAAGAAGAATTATACCCCCCCCCCCTGCCCACACTTATTTCAACCTGTAAGATTGGTAAGTCGGTAGTCTGGCTCGGGCAATAAAATCTCACTATCTCCACAACTGGTTTCTATCAAGCTCGTTCAAGAGCTTAGGACAAACATATAGCTCCTCGGGTCAGGAAATCAGGAGAGGGGGAGTAGAGTGGAACATGTCTTCCCAATATGGAAATCTATATATTTTTTGAAATTTCCTTTTTACAGACACTATAAGTACCCTTTCTCGAATTAATATCATGTTCACACATTTCGGTAAATGTCCCGAACTAGAGAAGAGTGTTATAAACTAAACAGATCTTGGCAATAACCGGTAGCCAGTTAGCTGGCAGAGTGATTTAGTTATTATGATTAACATTTATAGTTTTATTAATATCAAACAATCTTTATTGTTTGCAGGTATACTTGTTTAGAACCTGTACTCTGCGTCATATAATAGCAATGGTGCAAAGTAGTGATACTTGTAAAATCCTACAATAATTTATTTCAACTGACAAGTATCAAATTTTATTAGATGTTTGAATACAAAATTGTTATAAAGACATAAAAGAAGCAGGGTGAGCATACATACTGGGAGTTTTGTCGGAGAGGGATATTTCGGTTCAACTCACTGCCGTCTGAAGCCATATTTTTGTGGCCTGAGATGCCGTGTCCATTACGTTGTGACCTGACCTGCAAAAGCAAGTCTGCGCGCTCGTTTCATCTTTCGGATCTCTCACATTAATCAAGAAACAGAGTATCAATTACAAGTGCTCGGGTGGGGTGGAAGCATGAAGGGAATAAATAATTATAAGCAGTATCCTTGGGACACAAGGTTACTCTGCTTTTTATCTCTTTCAATTTATGCTGTGAAATGTCACCCAACTAGCCTGTTGATCTCGCCATTCAACCAAATGAACGTTAATTGGGTTGCTAAACTGCAAGTAATTAACCTCCTCCGCTCCCCCGAACGTCATACTGGAAGGTTTGCAAATGAAAAAGTTTGGGGCCCAAAACAGTGCCAGCTTAGGAAACGTTTGGGGAACACGTTTGATGGACATTTACAGGTGTAGGACCAGAGTAGAGCCTCCTGTAAACAGTTTGGAACCAAGGGACCGAATTTGATTTGAGGACCAGAAGAGAGGCTTAACAGATATGTACATGGAGTTGCAAACGCTCGCATGTACGCCTGGATGCATGCTAACATACACAGACAACTATCCACAAATCTCTAAAATAAAATAAAGCGTAGAGTGTCACACTATGATATACATGTTCTAAAACGACAATTTCGTTGCTTGATTTTCGTAACTGTGGTCTTACCAGTGTATACGGCAATACTTATGTCGTCTATGGCGACATAACTGGAATAGCTACTCCTCAAGGTTGCCTCAAATACAACCTGTAATCAGTGAAATCATACAAAATATAAGTTATATTATTAATCTTTGAAATGATTATTGATCGTTGATTAATGCCTCATAACTGTTCCTGTATTCTGTAATCTAAAGGTGATATATACATCGTGAATACAGCAAAGTTTGATTTACAGAATATAATGGTTATCCATCTTACTATCGATCTATTTGTACTTTAATTTTCAACGCTATCCCTAGGGTACTAGGGTACGCCATAGCCAAAAACATCGACAAATTCACCTTATTATCAGAATTAAACCAGCTTTTGGTAATTTTTAATAAGTGAGTCACTCTTATCATGGAGATGGAGAGGGAGTGGGTAATTTCAAACAGAATAAAGCAGATATTTGGATTTCCTAAAACGATGTACAGTCACAGAAAGTAATTCTGCTGCAACATTAGCATCGTATTACTGAAAACGGGATAACCGAGCACCACCCTTCCTGACCACCGCCATTAACTTGATTAAATTTTATAGTCTACCAACTATAGCTACGTGCCTGGACATCGTGACTCGTGGCCAGGATGAAATAGCCGTAGCGCCAATTGGTGTCTCTGTAGCCGTTGTTTGACCACCGAACATCTCTGTCTGTCCCCTGGACCAGAACACTCAGAGTTGCTCTGTAGGAACCAGGAAACATGTACCAGAAGGACACGATGTATCTTGTATTCTTAACCAGTGGCGGCGTATTGAGCCGGGCTACAGTGCCTGCACCATAGGTATACCTGGCGTACATGAAATGTCCTGTAACATAGGAAAATGTTATTATGGGTTCAATACAGTTTACTTTATCACTTAATTATCACTCCCCATTTCACCCCACTGAATGGGTTATTATGCACTAGGGTACATGTACTACCTCTATATGTTTGCAGTTGCATTGACCAAAATGTTGTGAATCCACGACGTTTATCTACAGAAGTACAAGGCCAAGACGGCATCGTTATGGTGGAGAAATGAGGAAATCCAAGATACATCACCTGAAGCAGATCGCAATGTATGGTCTGCTGATACCGTTGAAGTCCGAGAGCCATTGCTGATTAACCAGCCTGCGGGGGCAGCCATGTCTTGCAGGAAGCCACAGGCCCCATATTCAAAATCACACGATGCTTGCTGGGTATGAGCAACTGCATTGAAAATAAGTTGCATGGGATTGTCAGTAGATTTAGGCCCTCCATTTCTCTGCCTCTCACACACTCAAACAAACAAACACACACACACACACACGCACGCAGGCACTCACACATGCACAGAAAAACGCAGTATAGGACTTTTCCATTGACTATGTCCACAATCACTACATGTATATAATATGTCAAATGATATACAAATGTTAAAAAAGACAAAAATAACTCTTCACTGAATATATATAATCCAACACAGGAAAATTCTGACAGACTATCAAAGGGGATAACCCACTGCTGTTACCCAGCATCATGGTCGTGCAGATATACAGTATAGGGCACTCACGTGTGAGTTGAACGATGTTGATGTCGTCCAGAGCAACATCAGAGCGGTAATCAGAACCGCAGATAGCTTCAAACACAACCTAAAAGCAACAAATGGGATACAATATCATAGTTATGCATATTTGTTTTTATCCGCCGATCCTTCAAGCATTGTTTTAAAAAACAGGTATTTGTGTTATGCTTGGTCACCATGCATTTTTGTCATATACACACAATGGACAATAGAAGTGTCACCCCTACTGAACCAATACTTTGGGGAGCTAAATGACTGTGGAATAATATGCTCCTGGTATCAATTTATTGACATCAAATTTCACAAAAGAAACGGTTCTAACTAAACAATTCAACTGTGTCGATATTCTGGCATTGCTAATATTCCACCTCTTCGGGTTAATAACTTTAATTACTCTGATTAAGGTGCTGGCACTTCTATTGTCCAGTGTGTGTAGAAAATACCATGAAACTTTTTCAAAACAGACAACGATCAGCGTGACAAAGAATTGACTTAAGAAAGAGTGTGAGACTGGCATTGACAGGACTTTCTTTGAACCTCTTTTTCTTCATGCCTTCATGTCCAGCAGGTTGATTGTTAAATTTTACAATTGAAAAACGGCGAAAAAAATATTATTGATTCTTTAAAATTGTATGCATCTTTCCACAAATTTCCTAACAACTGATTTAACCAAACCGTTTTGTATTTTCAATGTAAAAACTGACTTCAAAAAGAATGATAATGAAATAATAATGTGTTGAAAAAGAGAGAGGAGGAGGTATAATATATGTTAATATATGTGTACATTTACATGCATATTAGAGCAAACGTGTGAGCCTCATAAAAAGCGGATGCAACTGTAATTTTACATACAAGTATGATTTCACTAAGAAAATAAATCACCTGGAATGAAGCATTCGTCACTGCCAACACTTCACCTCTCCTCCAGATATTTCCTAGATTTCCACTTTTAGTCCACAGTATTGCTCCTCGAGCCGAGCTAAGGGATCTGGCACGGATATTAAGTGTCCCTATGTTATAACCATTCATGTGGTACCAGAATGATATGTTATACGATTTTGTACCACGAGGATCCAGTGGCGGGGATATCATCATTGTACTGGTACCACTGGACACAGAGCTTGCCTCCGCGTAGATGTAATGCCCTGTAATGAGATGATGATTTATGCTGACATATAAGTAATTCAGTGCAATCTGGTGACAACCTGATATTGGAACTTTCTGAGAGAGAACACGTCGTGTTCATATGAAAATAAAATATTGTATATGGAATATTGTGAATGAAAACTTCAATATAAATTGTTTCAAATCTTTTTTTAAATATAAATAATTAATTATTCTTAGTTACCATTTTATATTGACATCGACACACTCCATTATCATTTTACTTAGTTAGGTAATAAGAATTACTATGTACAGTCCGCATGCATGTAGAAATAAACGTTTTCATGTCATAAGATAATGCTGTCACAAAACAGAGTAAACACATATATTTCGGAGGAGACGGTGTGGGATGAAGTAAAATAACTTTTATTTCTTTAGCCTACTTACCAAGTAAGTTCCCCAGCGTGTGGTCAGTGTAGGGTCCAGTTCCACTGGACGGAGTGCTACCGGTTCTTAATGTCCAGTTGTAATACGTGGACGAAAACCTAAAGCCACATGGCCCTGACTCGAAGGAACAAGTCACATTTGACCGAATCGTGGTATTAACATTATCTGAAAAGTACCATGGGCATTTTTGTCACATAAAGTAAATACTGAACAATTGATTTATAACGCTTTCTTAATAAACATAATGTACTTTGGAAACAAATATACAGCGCCCAGTTGACATGAAGGAACGGGTTGACAGAGGAAATCAACACCAGTAACAACAAGGTTGGATCAACTGTATACACACATGCACTAAATCTTTAGACAAAGGTCCCGTTCTTCATTTCGGTTATCGAGCCAATCGTTATCCGCAAGCTCAAAATGAACACTTTGACAGTGAAGTCCTGGACCTTACCAGGGAGAGTGCACCTGACACCTGCCTTACTGCTGCGATAACAGTAATTATAGCCCCAGCTAGAGTGAGTGCAATATTCCAGGGAGTATTCGTATCCTACACAGCCGACATTGCTTAGCCAGGTCCTGCTGGAGCTACTGCCAAATAAGGTGCCGCTGTCAGTATAAGCAGACTCGGCGCTTCTGTAAAACAAACACCACGTTTAACGTATAAGAATAAAGCGGGGTGTAAAATACAATGTGCGGGTGGGCGTTGTCCTGTTGAGAAAACACAAAAAGCACATAAATGAGCAGAAAAAGGGTTCGACAATGAGCTTAGGCATTCAGTGGCGGCTGTTCGATGAACGATGTGCGTTGTCCATGGGAAACACCTGCCAACACCATGACACTTGCGGCACCCGTCGAAGGACATTAACATCGGCGTATAAAGTTCACTGACACGGTGCCAAACAAGGCTTCTGTCATCGGAACAACGCAGGTGGAAACGACACCCGTCACTAAAAAGGACTGTACACCATCGTGTCTGACATCGGACTGCTTACCATATCATTATATATATAAATGCATTTTTATTTCTACTGTAAATACATGGGGATACAATACAGGGTTTCACTCGGTGATGCCTAATTAGACCTTGATCTTTGAATCAAGATCAAGGTCACTGAAGGGATGGTTTACAAAGCTGCTTCATTGAAATAGCCACGTAGTTTTCTTTTTGTCTTTACGTGTGTAAACTCCAAAGGCAAATGACAAAAAGGTCTTCACAGTGCACAGCGCCACCCACTCTCTGTAATACAGCATGATGTGAATTAAAATAAAGTTGGTGGCCTTAATTTAAAGAAAAACGATGATATTATAATTCAGTAGAGTTTATATGTGTATATCTTACCGATAGCCAAGCATCCTACAGACGACCTGCGCGTCATAAATATCCCATTCCGAGCCACAGATGTCGCCCCACAACCCCGCGTGGTAGACTTGTACTCTGCCCTCCCAGGGATTGAAACCGCCAGCCAATCGCACGCCAACGGTAATTGGTACTAGAGTATTGTTCCCTGGAATAATTGAAATATGGGGGATAGATTAACAGACTTAAAACACTGAACGAAAATGATTCACAATTTATAGACGATATGCAACAATCACCCATAAGGTTTTTCAGTTATATGACTAAGTAAATTTATTCTTTGCTTAGAAACTAAATTACATCAGCTAAAACACGATGTTTTTGTCCACCACCTTTGGACCTACATGTAGGTCAGGTGAATGATGATTTCTCAACGGCATCCAACTCACAGGAATCAAGACGCTAGCGTTGGAGGGTCTGGTCGCAGTTGAGTGGAGGGCGTGGGGTCCTGATATAATACATTTGCACTGCTTTGCGTACTTTGCAGCTCAGGCCCGTAGCCAGGGGGGTTTGGGAGGTTCGAAAGAACCCCCCTTTTTGCTGGAAAAAGGTCCACTCTGGGTAAAATTTCACCTAGGTACATGGGGATTATATGGTAAAAGGTCCACTTTTTCGGAAAAAGAACCCCCCCTTTGAAATTGCTGGCTATGGGCCTGCAGCTGTACCACCCTTCGTCTTTCGCAATATCTTAAGACAAGTAACCATATAGTCGGTCCTAAAACGCTAGCATACTTGCCAAGGGTGGTTCAACACCAAACTATGATTGTCAGTTTACTCCAGGACCCGACTTTCCCCACTCAAACACTACCAGGTCCTCCAACACTCGAGGGTTTACGATTGCGTCCAAAGAGTCGTTTAGGACTTATGTTATTTAGTATCTAAGTAAAAATAATTTTGTTTTATCATTTAATGATATGGGACTACTGATAATGCTATGAAACCATACCCAGTGATGAAGACACCAAATGTTCTTCCTAGTTATTAATGTGATGATTATGACCGTACTGATGCTGATAGAGTTATACGGTATCAGATAAAGAGCTGTACCTACCTTCCAGTGGATATATAAAGATATCATCTAAGGCTGTGACTGACCTGTAGCTTCCTCCTCTCACGCCTTCGAAGATGACCTGGCAAAATATTACGCAAAGGAAGACATATTTTTTATATACATTTATGCTGGCTTATGGCGAGATTTTAAATAAGGGAGACCACTACGACTGAGATGGTGAAAAATAGGCCGATTTATTATCGACATTAAGGTGTTATCAAATATTATAATAAGCAGTAAATCAATGCAGCAGCCAGTGAATAACTTAACGTAACATATATAGCAGAATGACAGATTGTTGATATGTAAGAATAATCATAATCGTATCTATCATGTTTCATATAATTAAACCTAACACCACAAATTAAACGATAAGTGGGGAGAAGTATGGCCAACCGAAGAAAATAACAAATTTCAAATTACCCCATGGTGATGATGGATATGTTGCATATAAGAAAAAGATAAATATATAAACAATCTGATATGACATAAACCCAATAGAGCATTCTTGTACACCACATTTCTATATCGAGAGCATTAATTTAAGATGGATGGAGCAGGGGTTGATGGTGGGTTTGAAATACAATCAAGTATTCTCGGTGAAAGCGCATGTCTATGTCTGTGATTGTGTCTTGTCAGTTTGGCTTCTGGTGCAAGACTGTTCTTATAACCAATACGCGTGAGGCTTAAGTCTATCCGCCTTTGCGTTTTGGTAAATAATCCCGGGCATACCACATAACTGACATTGCGTTGTAATGCATATTTTTACTGGCTAATGGCGAGATTATTAATAAGAGAGACAACTACGACTGAGCTGGTAAATAATAGGTCGATTTATTATCGACATTAAGGTGTTATCAAATATTATAATAAGCAGTAAGTCAATGCAGCAGCCAGCGCAAAACTTTACGTAACATCGCAGAATTACATAGTTTTGGATACAAAGGGATATATAAGCATAATTATATCTATCATGTTTTATATAATTAAACCTATACCACAAATTAAACCATAGGTGGGTGAGCTAGGGCCACCACAGCACATGGGTGCTGTACCCTACGCAAGCCTATAAAACTACCGTTGGAACTTTGATATTTTGTTTAAATACCGATTTCCACCTAACCATCAAAGCAGAGTGATGTAGTAGTGAAAAGTAACAACACATTTGCTCTCTAACGACTGTTAATCGGACATTTTCAAAGCATGTTGAGCTCCAGCACTACTGGTTGCTACTATTTCACCAACTCTCAAAAAGGCACAGAATGACAATAAAATTATGGCCTAAATTATTACGGATTTATGCCTGGTTTCATTTAACATAGCGTCAGCTTTGACCATGCCTTTTTAAATTATTAGAGTAATCGGTACACGTACCGAGGACACATACTGGTTTATATACTGAGAATGACCTTATTTTAGAACATTCTGTTTAAGAGAAGGGGTCTCTCAAAAGTTATGGTGATCGGGCTTTTACAATCTAAGCCCCCAAACTGTGGAATGCCTTACCAAATTTTATTAGAATAGCCCTTCTAAGACCCACATTTTTTAATCTGTCTATTGGTCTTAGATTTTTTGTATATCTTAATAAGAATGAATTTTAGCCAAAGAGACCATAACAGTTATAATTTATTGGAATCAATCTAAACGCTGTTTCTATATCTGATTTTTAGATGAAAGCGCCTTTCCCATGTGACAAAACTAATGATAAGGTTGTCGAAATGTTCTTAATGAACACTGCAATGCTCTCTGTTTGGGAGTTAATGGAACGGCCCCGGGGAGAAGAACAGACATGTATGACATGGAATTCGCCATTTTAAGGCACTAAACCTAAAGGAGAAATTTGTAAATTTTGGAAAGGCGGGCTTGAAAATGATACCTCTATTCGCCCGATGAGGATTTCTTTGGCGATCGTTTTTTTGGAGTATATCATATCTATTTTTACAGAAAAATGATTTTGGCACTTTGTCGACAAAAAAGTCCCAGAGTGGAAACAAAAAGTAAAACCTTCTAATAAAAATGTTTTCTCAGAATCATCATATCATAGGATAATTTTAACATTAATCAGAATTGGCAGATTTTTGTTTTAGATGTTGGCCAGTTGTTGGCGTGGCGGTTCTTTTGGCAGGTTGTGCATTAATGGGTGAAGGAACACATTATTTTTCGGCAGGTGTCTCCATTTGCAATAGAGAACCAACAGGCTCCAGATAGACGGGTTTTTCTTTGATAATTTTTGTTTTTGAATTTGGATCGGAAGGAATGGTAAGTTCTAAAAGACTTCAAATATACCTGTAGCTCAGCATGAAAATCATCCCATAGGATATCAGACTGACCTGAAAATGTTTGCCCTAAGTTTTCATCATAAAAAAACCAATTCAAACCTTTTGCTGCCATTGAATTTATAGTGCAGCCATATTTAAAATAGGGATGGGTAAATATGCGGATTTTGTTCGTTTAAAAATCGCCGAAAAAGTAAAAAATGAAGGTTCCAATTGTCCCTTGATGACTTGGGTTCAGGTTTAGAGGGCCGGGTATTGGTGATTGTGTGGACTTTGGTATTTTTCTGGTATTTGGCTATTTCTCATTAAGACCGGAAATGGAATGAATATGTTTGTTTGACAATATTCTATTTTTGATCTACCCCTTGACCCAGGGGAAAAGACAACGAGATCAACGACGTGATGGCGTTTCAAAGTCATTGTCCAATTCAGTGTTCACTGAAACATCGTCATCCTGATTCTCGACTTTCCAACGTCAGCCGACTGCATGAGTTCTCTCAGCTCACCCCTTATGCTTTGAAGCACAGAAGTTGTGCGTTGTGTTAACGCATCTTCATTAAATGTATCTGGGTTAGCTGAATCTATGGTTGATTGACGTGGCTTCCGCTGGCTCTTTCTTGTAGCCTTAGGCATCTATGAGAAAGATGTAAACTTGATGTAGCCGATCAATCAAGATATATACCATTTATAAAGACATTAATGAAGCAGTCAACTTAGCCATTGGAAGCAAAATTAGGACAATGGGTACAATTGCCAATGCATCTTATTTACTTACATATCCAATGCTATCATACATGTATTACATTGCTAAAGAGACATTCTTTCTTATTGTCCAATGATATCATTTTAATTAAATTCCATATGCGAAACATGATATCCACACTTATATACACAGCAACATAATATGAGACTACATCTCAGTTTATGTAACCACCTGCTAATGAGCAAGCAAGCGATCTCGTACCAGAAATAAATCTCGTATAAGCATGAGCACCTGCCAAAGCAAAGCAATGACAATAGACAAAAAATCTCAGCTAACGCATTCACCTGCCAAAGCACAGAGCAATGACATACCTGTCACAGCAAAAAGCAATGACATACCCACCAAAGCATAATAATAATAACTAGACTGCAACTGGCTGAAGCCAGTGGCAGAGGATTCCCCTGCAAAATAGGTGTGGAAAGGCTCTTACAAGGTCAAGTGAAGGTCATGGGTTAAATTTGACCCCATATTCTGAAAGAGCATGTGCGAATTGGGGGGGGGGGGGGCAAAAAAAAATTAATTTTTATCCCCTTCAAAATTTTTCCCATGAAAAAGCCAAATNCATAAAAGTAGGCCATTATATGTGGATTCACCTCAGTATTACTGACCATAAGGCCCATAGCCATACGGCATATACTTAAGGCCTAATGGCAATTTCAAATTTTACAAATTTTGCCTTTAAAAGCCCCTGTGACCTTGAAAAGTAGGTCAAGGTCACTGAAACTGGGTCTGTGGCATATTCTCACCATAGGCTACCTATGTAAATTATTTCAGATTTTTTGCGAAAAAAAACGCGCGGAAAGAATAACTATAATAATAATAATAATAATAATAATAATAATAATAATAATACCAAAAACAATAGTATTCCCCTATGGGGAATCCTAATAATAATATATTGATTTCGAGTCTAAAATACATAAAATGTTCAACAGACTGTACAACATAAAATACAAAGAAGTTTATAGATAAAAATGATTAAGATATATATTATATAAATCAGAGCTAAACTAAATTGTAATAAACAGTAATTAAAAGTAAAAAATCCAAGGTTTCTTTAATGTACAATTTAAAAATTCATGAATAAAATGTGTTAAAATGTGAGTTTTCAATTCCTTTTTAAAAGATTCTTGTGATTCTATGCGTCTAATAAAAATGGTAACTTATTCCATTATACCGGTGCTGCTACACAAAATGATATGTCGCCATTTTTTAAAATTTGAATAGGGAACTTTCAGTTAAAGTTTGTCACCAAACCTCAGGGATCTTTGGGGACTATAATGTTTGACTAGATCAATTATATATGGTGGAGCTAGGTTATAAAAAGCAGGATGTGTAAAAACTAAAACCTTAAATAAAGTTCTGGTCCTAACTGGTAACCAGTCCAAGCAGTGCAACTGCTTTAAAATTGGAGTGATATGGCAATCCCTAGGCTGTAGCATTAAAAGCCGTGCTGAGATATTCTGGATGCGTTGTAATCTTTTGATCTTATCATCTGGATGTCCATATAATACAGAATGCCAATAGTCCAACCTGGAAGTTGCCAATGAGTGTATAACAGTAGCAGCAGATAATTGATTCAGATATTTTCTTATGGTGCCAATATTCCGAATGTTGAATTAACAAAACGTTGTGATGTTGGAGATCTGTTTGTCCTTTGAAAGTGTAAAATCAAAGTATACTCCTTTTTTACATGGGGGAGGGGGGAGGGGGGAATAATGCCATACTAGCTCCAATTTTAAGTTGCAGGTTGTGAGCAAGGCCCTTGTTGTGGGGTTCAGTAATGTCTAAAAATTCTGTTTTTCCATCATTTATTAGCTCCGCCAAGGAGGTTATGTTTTCGCCCCTGTTTGTTTGTTTGTTTGTCTGTCTGTCATCAACATAACTGAAAAAGTTAAAGACCGATTTTGATTAAATTTTCAGGAACTGTCAGAAGTTGGCCAAGGAAAAAATGATTAGTTATTGGTGGTGATCTGGATCAACAATCAATCAATAATCAATAATAATAAAAAAATTGCTGCCTTGGCGGAGGTCTGCGCTCTCGGAGTGCTTTTCTAGTCTTCAATTTGTTTGAAATGAGCCAACCTCTGAGATCTGATATGCAGTCAACATAGGTGTTCACAGACAATGCTGGATCATGGATATTGCAAGATGTGTACAACTGGGTATTATCTGCATAAAAGTGGTAACCTATCTAACGCAGAATTGCTCCATTTTAGAGGACCAAGAACGCTCCCCTGAGGAACACCAAATAAAAGCTGTGACTATCACTTTTACTTTTACAGAAAGCACACCATTTATATTAACTTGATGCGTTCTCCCTACAAGATAGACCGTAAAAGATTTATGGCCTTATATCTAACTCTCACACTCTGCTCTAGATAAAATATTATGGTCTACTGTGTCAAGGCAGCAGACAAAGCTAACAGTTCCAATAACATAGCAGAATGTTTGTCAACGCCACTTAACAGATCATTTTTAATTCTCAAAAGTGCAGATTCAGTGCTATGATTGAATTGTAGGCTGACTGCATTTCTTCAACAAGATTGTTTGCTTCTAAAGGCTTAAATAGTCTAACTGCTATAACCCTCTATACTACCTTAGATAAAAATGACAAATTGGAAACAGGACGATAGTTTATCAAAAGATCTGTGTCAAGGCTGTCCTTTTCGAGTAGTGGCGAATTATTACAGATTTAATTTTTTTTGAAAAATACCCACAGTGAAACATTTGTCGATAATTTCCACAATCAAATTTATTACAGCCGGAAGAATCTGAACCAGTAATGATGAATGATGGGATTGGGTCTAACGTGCATGATGTCTTCCTGGAACTGTTTATTATCTGCGTTACTTCGCAAGTAGTTGTTGGTTCAAACATAGTGATGAGCGACTGCGGTTCTTGTAAAAGTTCTGACAAAGGTGGATGCGATGGCGTAGTCAAAGTCTTTTCTAATTCAGAAAGTTCAGCGTTAATAGTATTGACTTTAGACACAAAAAATCACTCATGTTATTTGCAAGATCTTTCACTGAATCTGTTTTGCAATTGTAAAGCAATTGGTTTTTCCCAGAATAGTGTTGACAGTTCTAAATAAAGCCTTGGTATCACCATCACATTCTTGTATCATATCAGAATAATATTGACAGATTAATTTGTTTACATGGCAACATGCTTCTTTATAAATCTGATGATGGACAGTTAATTTACTCCCTCGCCACTTCCTCTCCGCTTTCCTTCTATCTCTCTTTGCCTCCAGTATGCGATCATTCATCCAAGGTTGCAGGTCTTTCTTAACAAACGTTTTAGTTTTGACAGGTGCAAGATTGTCGAGTGCAGTTGTTAATGTCCTGTCATACAGAAGCACACATTCCTCAGGACTCAAATTATCAAAACTTAAATCACCCAGCTGTGATGTAACCTGTCGTTTTAATTCATTCACATCAATACCCTTGATTTTTCTGAACAAGATTTTGCTCTTACTGGGGTGAGGTCTGCCACATCTAAGCGTGGTGTTGATAACATGATGGTCAGAAAGTAAATGCCCTACCTCACATGATGTTACAAGTGAATCACTTTCCCTAGCCAACACCATATCACGCGTATGGCCGCGAACATGGGTGGGATCTAACACGTACTGTGTAAGTCCAAATGAATCAATTAACAAAGCAAACTGCTTGTTTTCAGGAATGTGTTGATCATCCCAGTGTATATTCATGTCGCCAAAGATAAGAAGTTTCCCTCGAAGAGGTGCTAGGTACTCAAGGAGATAAGGAAACTCACTGAGGAATAACATTTTTCGCAAGTTAGTGGTTTTAGATGGAGGTATTCTGTATACTGTAATGATACGCAATGACATACCTACCAAAGCGCACAGCAATGACATACCTACCAAAGAATAAAGCAATACCATACCTGCCAAAGCACACAGCAATGGCATCCCCAACAAAGCACACAGCAATGACATACCTACCAAAGCGCACAGCAATGACATACCTAACAAAGCATACAGCAATGCCATATCTACCAAAGCACAAAGCAATGCCATACCTACCAAAGTATAAAGCAATGCTATACCTGTCAAAGCACACAGCAATGACAAACCTACCAAAGCGCACAGGAATGCCATACCTACCAAAGCGCACAGCAATGACATACCTAACAAAGCACACAGCAATGACAGACTTGTCAACGTAAAATGATTGCGCACTGAGACTAATCCTCGGCTTATACAACCACCGGCCAATGCATAAAAGAATGACATACCTACCAAAGCACAAAGCAATGCCATACCTACCAAAGTATAAAGCAATGCTATACATGTCAAAGCACACAGCAATGACAAACCTACCAAAGCATAAAGCAATGCCATACCTGTCAAAGCATACAGCAATGTCATACCCAACAAAGCATACAGCAATGTCATACCCAACAAAGCACACAGCAATAACATACCTACCAAAGCACACAGCAATGACAGACTTGTCAACGTAAAATGATTGCGCACTGAGACTAATCCTCGGCTTATACAACCACCGGCCAATGCATAAAGGAATGCCATACCAAGACTAAATCACAGCTAATGCAAACACCTGGAACACTAGCTGTGTGCGATAACACCCATGCAAATTTAGCAAGGGGAAACCGGCTGCTGCATATTAACAGTGCTAATTTACAAAGGTTTTATCACCTATTAACGCTATCGTAATAGCATGTAGCTACAATTGCATTTGTCACTGAATTACAACACGTTGTAAAGTTGTCTTGCAGTTACTGCAGTAACGTTAATTATCCATGTGCTTGGAACGAAAGGCTTTCATAATTGCTTCTTATCAATCGTTCACTTTTTGAAGTATTGAAATATACCCCGTCTGGGAAGAGATACATTTTTCAGTTGGCATGCCGTAGATCTCTGTGGTCCCAGTAGAATATGTCGTTACGTAATACCGAAATCTTAGTGTTGGCAGTTTGAACCACTTCATTAAAATCTGGGCGTAGTTGGCAGTTTGAAGTAATATGACTAAGTTTATAAGATCGCCAGCGACGGCGAAGGGTTGCTTGCGGAGAAATGTGATCATTGCCTACAACCGAAATTAAAACAAATCCGGTCTCACCGAATCAAAAATGCCCTTAAATTTACTAAAAAAAACCAAGTCAACTTAAGCCCCCTACACCGTGAGAAATCCCCGAATGAATTTCTGGTCGAATAAATCCGAAATGAGGCAATTTGTGTTTGAAAGTTTTTTTTTATGGAGCCTCCTTATATGAGATGATCCTAACACAAGAGAAACAAACGGCTTGTTCTCCCCCAGTATGGAAGAAGAAAATGTCGAAAGTAATAATGCACTCACCATAAATCTTTGAAATACAATCAAGAATTATCGATGCCCGTGACTGCGTCTTGTCAGTTTGGCTTCTGGTGCAAGACTCTTCTTATCAATACGTTTGAGTGAGGCTTAAGTCTATCCGCTTTTGCGCCATGGTAAATAATATAATCCCGCGCATACCACAAAAATGGCATAACGTTGTTATATATATAACAAAGTTATATAACAAAGTTAATCTGTTCTCTCCATTTTAATTAATCTTTTGTATTTTGATCTGTTTGCGCCCCTGACGAGGCCTCCGGGCCGAAACAGCTGTAGGGACTTACACTGATACTCATAAGTTAAGCAACACTTTCTTATTTCTCAAATTTCTCAGCAACCAAGCTTTTTTATTGAGGCAAAATTTGTACAGTAGCTAGATATATCTTTTGTTTTTTACTTTAAACTACTGGACCGTGACATTTGAGTGCTGTTTACTGTTGGACACCGTAGAATATGCAATGGGGGTGCCATGCAGCGAAAAACACGGTTTGAACTCCTCGAACACAGGAAGAGCTCAAATCAGTAGGCAAACAGTCAACAGGCATCTTTTAGAAGCTGAACTTCTATCTAAAAGACCTCGTAAAAAGTCACCGTCGACCAACAGACACAAGCAGATAAGATTGGCATGAGCCAGATACCGAGAAAGAAGGAATATCTCAGGACTGGGCGAAAGGTCATGTGGACTGACGAGACCAGATTCACTTTGATGTATGCAGATGGTCGGCTAGGCGTCTGGAGAGGTCGAAACCAGGCGTTTCAGGATGATTGTGTTCTTCCACGTGTTCAGCGTGGCGGACTATCCGTCAAAGTATGATGCGGTTTCTCATACGATGAAAAATTACCACTGTACGTCATTCAAGGGAGGTAGGGTGGTCAACAATACAGAGACAAAATGCCATTGGGGCGCATACAATCACACATTCAAGCAAATCCAGGAAGAAAAATCATTTTGGTGCAGGACAATGCGCCCATCCATAAAGCACGGTCCGTGCAAGACGCGGTGCAACAGCACGGTATCCCAAATTTGGATTGGCCTGCATATTCGCCAATTCTAACTGTAATCGAACATGCTTAGGATATAATTGACAGGGCAGTAAATGAGAGACAACCTCCAGTTAGAAACATAAGAGAGGTCCAGCAGGCAGTAACTGAAGAATGGAACCGCTCCCAAAGCAAGATTGACAGAATTTTGTGGCAAGTTACATGAGATAATGTGAAGCTGTTGTTCAAAACCAGGGCAGGCACATCCGATATTAATTGCAAAATTATGAAATAATGCAAATGAAATAATGATCATAATGGAAGAAACTTTTGAAAAAATCGGGGTATTAATTAAAATGGAGAGACTGATTAACTTTGTTCGTTTTCTTGTCTTTCTGTATCAGCTCCCCATGGTCCGTCACCATGGGTAGAGCACTCTTCCAAAGTGAATCGATTATATTCTCCGTGATACATATATCATTATACACATATATACATGTATATGTGTATAAATATATATGGTTGTAGCTATCTTCTTATATATATATATATATATATATATATATATATATATATATATATATATATATATATATATATAAAGCATGCATGTTTTCCTCCATGGATGTCTGTATCGAACTATCAGAATACTTGCAGACGTACTTAGAATAAGCTGTGTCTGATAATATTTCGTGTTTCGTTTAAGCAACATCACTTTGATGGTTATTCTAAGACTTTTTGGAAACAAAGTAAGCTGAATATACCCCAGGATTACATGGGACCGAAAAAATACTGAAATATAATTTTACATAAGGAGCACATGTATATAGCTCCATGCAATGGAAGCAGAGGGTGACGATATAAGCCGTGGTTACCGTACCTGAAAATCACTACCGATAGAGATGTGAAGAAAGTGTCCCCGCCATAAATAACTTCCTGAAACTGAAGTAAAGTTCCAGAGTTCTTGTTCCGTCGCTCCGGGTTGTTTCACAAACACCCTGATGTAACCGAGCTCGCTCCCCCTCATGTAGAACCAAAACGATATGTTGTAGACCGTGCTGGTGTTCACTTTGATCACAGGGGACGTTATCCGCGCGGTTTCATTTGGTAGCCCATTGCTGCCCGACATGTAGATATAGTACCCTGTAAGGAGGTGAGTGACAATTATTCAGAAATCAATTTATTTGTTTTTTATGTCGTGACATTGTTTAAAAAATCCAATCCGTTGAAATTTTTTATGTGTGTGTTTTTTACGTAACATCATGAAGGGCAGTTGCATGATCAGGCAATTTTCTCAGAAACGTGTCTTGGTGATAGGCCCGGCTTTGTTGTCAGAGTGTCTGCCTCCGAAGCTGGGGGCCGTGGAATCGACCTCGCCCGAGGACATACCGACCCTTGATAAACGGCCCTTGCTGTCTACCTGCTTGGAATTCAGCTCTATGGGGTTGAGGTAGGGGTAAAGTTACTGGTCTGGCAGTGAATGATATGTGTAGTGCAGTATATAAAAACTGGACTTTACGTTTTTCTTTTACGTGTGACCATTCTGTGCTAAATGCTCTGTGCGTTTGTAGGCTACCAACTTTCAATATTATTTACATTTATTTAGATTGCATTTTCTACACGTTGTATCTCTCCCTCATCTATTCAAATGAGAATTTATATTCCCAGCAGCCTTCATATTATACAGACTTGACGTTTAATATGGAATATTTCAGATTTAAAGGTATGCCTAGGTAAAAGTGCATTATTTTTTCATAAAACTCAGATCTCATATAAGATATCTGACTGAAGAAGTGTGAAGTCAGGTGTGTCGCTACCAATTAACTGACTACCAAGCCTGTTGCACTGCTGCATTGTGTAATATGCGGTGATTTAATTGGGTAGTGCTCCTTTGGGCTGGTCAAAGCTTTGCTTTGGCGAAGCATGGTTCTGTAAAAAAAATATCCATATGTCGGCAACTACTGCATAGAAGAATTTAAAATTTTGCTTGCAAGCGGTCGGTTTTGCAGTGCGTAAATGAGTTAAACAATGTTTTACAAAAATGTTAATCTGTGCCAGAATGGCGCGGAAAAGACGGACATTGCCAGACAGATTATTGTGTCAAACGGAATAGTCTGCACAGTTTTATGGAGTTATGCCCAGACTGATGTACCTACACAGAGGCCACGCCCAATGTATCGACATCTTACCACCAGGGCACAGGACTCACTGTCCTTTAGGATATACTTCTGCAACTAAACAAAACCCACCCAGTCCGTTCAGAATGAGGGGCAAATTGTGACCAAAACGCGTTTTTCAAGGCTCTTAGCGAATATCAAACTGGTTTTAGCAGGTTAGGATGCCAAACCTCTGAGGAAGCCACTGTAAACAGCAAAACAGCGTCGTCTGTTTCTTTAATGAATTGTGGATCATGACCGTTTCTGGGTAGAACACTGAAACCGCGTGGCTTTCTTTATTGAGGTCAGATTTCACCTGTACCGCTTAACTGGTCAAAACAGAGTTTACAGACATCCTGCAGAGGCCTACGACAAGGCGTTGCCGCTTCTAAAGTGACTAGGGTCATTGACAGCGTCAGTATTTGGAGTGGATACAACATTGGTGCCAAAACACCGATGGTAGTCATTGATGAAAACCTTAACCAGATGAAATAAAGGAATAATCTGAGAACCATTTGACTATCATTTGATAGGGGGCACCTTAGGTTGCACGATGAGATTGCCCGTTCATACAGAGCACTTTTAAAACCAGATAACTTACAGAGCCAAGGGATTGAGCAGATACGTTGGTCATCAAAATCGCCATATTTGAACCACATAGACAACACATGGGTAGGTTATTACTCTCCGAATCAACAGCCTGCATGTCCTACAACAAAACTGAACCAAATTGGACAAGTTTTGACCGTTGCCTGGAATTTTTTTCCAGATTAAACTCTAAAAACCTATCCTAAGGAATGCCTTGCCACTTGAAATCTCTGGTAGCAGCCAGATGAGGTCAGGTGTAACAGCAACCGTTGCTGTGACATGAGGGTCCTTTGTGGGGCGTAAAACTCTTTTAAAGACGACAATTTTGAAAATATGGAGATCCAAAATATCGCTTTCAATGGTTGTCGTGTGACTTAAAATAGGCAATGCATTTTTGTTTGCCTCACTGGCTCAATTAATGATCTGATGTCACAATGACATCAAAGAGATAAATAAAAGTTATTAAAACACGATTTTAATCCTTATTTTCATTTATCAGTCAGCAAAATAGGGAAAAACTGATGAAAAATAATTTGGAAAAAATATTCCATATTAAATGTCAAGTCTGTATTTTATAGATGTAATGCTTTAATACTAATGAAAACTAGACTGCAACTGGCTGAAGCCAGTGGCGGAGGATCCCCCTGCAAAATAGAGGTGGAATGACCTTGAAGAAAAAGGTCAATTACAAGGCCATGTGCTAAATCTGATCCCATATTCGGGGAGGTGGGTCAACAATACATCAGTTTTAGCCCAAGTGAATATGTCACCTTGAAATGTCCAAATAACATTGAAATTGAAGGTCAAGGTCAGATTTGACATTTGATTTGGGGATGTTGGGTATAAGTTTGGGGAAGTTTACTTTAGCATGTTATCACAAAAGATCAGTATTTCATGGAGAAATTGCCAAAGTCACGATTTCTGCGACATCATAAATTTTCTAATCTATATTTAAAAAACGTATCAAGCAATCGCTACGAAAGTGCAGTTAACTTTAGATAAGACTATAAGGCATCATTTGCATCTAAGAACTAGGCTCTGGGCCTCCCGGTTTTTGAGATATGGGACAGAAACCTGTTTTAAGGCAGTTTGGCCATTAGCGACCTTGACCTTGACATACTTGCATGAAAGTAGGTCAATATTTGGGGATTTACCCAAGTATCATTGGCTAAAAGTTCCTTTGCCACATAGCTCATACTTTAGGCATAATGGCAATTTCAAATTTTACAAATTTCGTCTTTAAATGCCCTTGAAAAGTGGGTCAAGGTCACTTTTACTGGTTGTATAGCATATTCTGAGCCATAGGCTACCTATGATAATTATTTCAATTTTTTGGCGAAAAAAAATGTGTGGAAAGAAAAATGTCCAAATGACCTTGAAATTGAAATAGACTTGGGGGTGTTGGGTATATGTTTGGGGTAGTTTACTATAGCATGTTATCACAAAAAATCAGGATTTCATGGAGAAATTTACAAAGTCACTATTTCTGTGAAATTATTTTAATGGCCAAGTCAGCAACCATTGAGCTTCGCCTGTAGAAATCACGGAAAGTGATGAAAAACAGATTTTCTTGATATTTACACATATAATAGTACTTATAATGTGGAAATAGAAAATACAGATAAAACTTCGAATAAGTGTCTGTTGCCATGGCAACGGGCATTTTCAGGGCAAATTTTTCATATAAATGGACTTAATGACTATATAGGACTAAAATGGAAAAGGGGGAATACCTATAAATAAAATATATAATTGTAATATAGGGTATGAAATAGATTGCCACCCTTAGAAATGTAGAATATTTTTTCTTAAATATTTACCTGCAAATTTATGTAATTTTATAAGTCAAAACATGCACATTTTAAACAACCTTATTTCAAAATCGCAGATTTATCCATAAAAACCACTAATATCCTCAGGTAGTCCACATTTAGTTATAACATAAACCAAAATAAAATCACGTAGCAATTGAAGAACCAAAAAGTTACACCAGTTCATATCTATGCAATGTTGCCATTTTTGCCCATGTGGAGTTGCTCTCCTGCACATGGAGACCAGAATGTGTTATATTTCTTATGAGAAAGGAGGACTGAAGTGAAACAGGAAGTGATAGAATGTAAACAAAACAGATCGTCTGCATACAATAACTCCAAAGAAAATTGAAAACAAAACTGCCAAATGATTAAATAAATGTGTTTACATAAATTTAAACTTGAAATTGATATTTTCTTTGTTTGGGAATATGGATTATCTTCCTAATATTCTGTAATATCCTCTTTTGCAACTTACAAATATCATATATTCATAATCTACATGTATGCCATGCTCAAAGAATATATTTATTAAAAAAACAATGACTATATATCATTATCAAGCAAGTTATTATTCTTATTTTGAATATAGATGGTAATAACTGGTGCTGCTCTATTGGACTCCGAGGCCAAGTGCAAGTGCATCATGAACCATTGGAAGCTAAATCAGATACAACTGGTTGGGTCCGTCATATAGATAAACGTCCCAATAAAATATTCGTCCCGATAGATACGTCTCTATACATACACGTCTCAATAGATTTACGTCTCGTTAAATTTACGTTCCGATAGATCCACCAACAGATTCCTATAAACCCACGTATCTTTACATCCAGGGAGACCGGGGCACGTTCGGCCCCTTTTTCTTTGATCGGTTGTAGTTCAGCTGCTTGACGACGAATCTCAATGATGTGTTTTGAGTAGATAGACTGCTAAATTTCCTTTTTTTATACATTGTTTAAATGTACAGAAAACCTTGCGTTTTAAACAAGTTTAACATGAAATAAATTTCCAACACGTGGCCGAACGTGCCCCGGCCTGGGGCACGTTCGGCCTCTCGATGGGGCACGTTCGGCCTGCAAATTCAAATACTTTCCTACCGATTTCTTTTATTTCCATTTCACATGAATACCTTAAAAATAGGTATTTTTGTACTAAACAGTGACGATACACTTGAAATAAATAATACAGCTAGGTTTTAGAAAGGTATGTAGGCCTTATTGAAATTGTTTGTTTGGTACATGTATGTCCTTGAACTACATATATTGAGCTACTATTTTTTAATGCATAGGTCTTTATACTTCTCATGTATATCAATAACAGAACATGAAGGAACCGACCTACGTCAGTATTGAAACCCCACATTTAATCCAACGGGAAAACTTTCTAACATTTGAAACACAACAAAGCGTTCAAACGCAAAACATCAACTTTAATCACAAAGAACATTTTAACATACACAATTTGTTTGAAATAATGCCACGTTAAGAAAATATTTTTAAAAAAACTTGATAACAACTCCAGTGATCTTTAAACAATGTTAATATTTCCGGCTAGATGCCAGAGTGTTTCTCTAGAAAATATAAGTTAATGATATGTACATGTATTAAATATTTGAGTTATAGGCTTCGTGCGTGGCTGAAAAAACGCGACAATTAAAAAGTGAAGATACAAGGTTAAGTTTTAACCCCATTAATGGCGCTGAAATGTTAGCATATAACAAACTTTTTTTGGCTTAAAAATAATAATTTTAGATCAAGTCTTTCGCCTGGCCGAACGTACCCAACCCAGGGGCCGAACGTGCCCCACCTTGAGGGGCCGAACTTGCCCCAAGCCTGCATTCCGAATGTATGTTACCATAGCAACATAATTAACAAGTCGACAGTGTGGTGTCATACCTCATTTAAATTGGCTTTCTATATGCTCTTATATTATAATGCAATGGTGACAGTAATTCAACTAATTAATGCTGAAGTAGACCCAAATTAAAAAACCTTTAAAAAAATTTAACACGTGAAAAATAAGTTTTTCAATCATATCTTCTGAACGGAGTGCACCACAGAAGCCTTATTTTTGTAGTATCCGCTAAATAGATCATGTGACACATAAAGGTCTCGCTGCTGAACCAAAAGTGTTAATTAAGGAAAATACGAGTGAAAGCCGAACGTGCCCCGGTAGATCCATATATCTGACATCGTAATCGTAATCGGCTAAAAGGCCGATATCAACTTGTGATACAGGTATGAGGCTTTTGAGTGATAGTCTGGCTGCGAATACTGATCCACTTAGTGATCTGACTTAATTACAACCTGATATTTATTATTTATTCATTTATTTATGTATTTATATATTTATTAGGTGTTCAAACAAGACATACATGTACGTTCGCGTCTACACGTCTATCACACTCTAAAGTTCGGGAACGCGTCGTAAACATGAAACAGAACACATTTTAAGTGTGCAAATGTTTCATTTTGAGAACGCTTTAAACAGTGTTCTGGCGCCAGAACACTGAGCGTTGTGAAATATAGAACACATTTTTGTGTGAAAACGATCTAGTAGAATAATATATTGCTGAAAGGATTAACATGTGTACTGTCGTTTTAAAGAAGTGCATTTTATGTACTGAGAAGTATACCAACCATTTTGAGCAAAAGCATACCTGTAATGGATCTATCGGTTTTTGGATCTAAAAATACGTGGATCTATAGGTATGTGGATTTAAAGGAGGTTGGTTTATGAGGACGTCGTATCTATAGGAACGCAAATATATAGGACAGCAATAAAAATCGGATCTATCGGTATTTAAATCTAAAAAGACGTTTTTTCAGTTTTTCCTTTATGTATCTATCGGTAACGGGAGTATAGGGACGTGTCATATTTTGGGACTAAATTTTATCCGTACGTACCCCAACTGGTGACTTGGTATGGTTAACATGTTGGATATCCTACTAAACTAGACTATATGTTTGCAACCGAGTTGAATCACGAACTATAGCTCTAATATGATGTGCACTCGAAAGCTTGCTGTATAATCCATTAATACTATAGGTTTCCTGGTTACTACAAACTTGGTTGAGAACAGAGTCCTATTTTTAAAGCTTGCATTTCCATTCATATTTGTTTAATGGACTCTTTGAAATTGATATTGAGAATGTCTACCTTACAAGAAGTGAAAATGCACTTTCTCATTTCAAGTTTCATGGGAACTGTCCTCTGACAGGACGAAGGCTGACTATATAATAAAATCTAAGAAAATCATAATGAGGTCCATAATGTGTTAGCTCCTGGCCAAGGAAATATGCTGTTCCATGATACTAACCTCTTAGTGAAGAGTTCACAATATTTTTTTGTTTTAAGCCCAACAGACATTGTGTTGAAAGGCATTTCCCATCCCTACAAGTACATCACTATACAGGGTGAGCATGTGAACCCATCGTAGAAATATGAATTTAGGTTGCAAAATAATCACCCCTTGTGCTCACGATATTCTGTATGTATGTAGTATTTTCTTATAGAATGGCTTCTTATAGAATTGTTATGAATTGCTGTGTAATTTTATTTTTACAATTGTTCATTTATAATTTGCCCATCATCAAATAGATAATCATCAGACATCAATGTTGTTTTTTTTAAATAATACTTTAGAAAATCATGTTGCTATTTTGAAAAATAATGCTCTAAATAATCATTAAAAATAAGCCTTTTCCCCAAATTTGAATGGCGGCCATCTTGTATTTTGAGGTCATTAACGTCAAATTTCCTGGAAATTTATATTAGTGAGAAAATCAAGCAATATCTACTAGCAAGCAATGCTGTACAATTCTAGTACACAATAAAATTGATTTAGATAAAGTTTTGTACATGTTTGCCATATAATTGAGTTTTACAGTATTTAAAAATTTGAGAATATTTGAAAGAGTACAAATTTTTTGTTTATGAATTGCTACATAATCTTATATTTCTAATTGTTCATCTATACTTTGCCCATTCATGAATAGATACTCATCAGACATATTAATGTTGCTATTTTGAAAAATAATGCTCTAAATAATCATTGAAAATAACCTTTTTCACCAATTTGAATGGCGGCCATCTCGGATTTTGAGGGCATCAAGGTCAAATTTCATAGAAATTTATATTTGATGTTGTAAAGATAAGCCATATCTACTTTCTTGCAGAGCTGTACTATTCTACTACACTAAATGGTTGATTTATATCCTATTTAATACATATTTGCCCCAAAATTGAATTTTAAGAAATTTGAAATTTTGAGAATTTTTGGCATAGTATAAAATTTTTGTTTATCAATTGCTGAGTAATTTTATTTTTTTAAATGTGACTTCATACTTTGCTAATTATGAACAAAACAATCGAGGAGTATATCACTGCTGCGATTTTGAAATAAATGCATTTAAAAAAGCCCACATCGTGGTAATTTTGAAAATACTGATAGGATGCAAAGTTTCAGTTGCCATAGCAACCCTATGTAAAAATGTAAAACAAATATATTTGTATAGAGCAATATGTCCTTTTTTGACATTGCTATATAAAAGTCAGTATTATAAATTTATATATTCATTTTTTATTTATTATCATGGTTATTAGGCCTATTTGAGCTGATATTTTTACCTACCAAAGACCGGTTTCTAGGGAAAAGCAGTTTGTTGCTATGGAAACCAGAGGAAATGGTTGAAACATGGTTAGTGGTCATTTTTGTGCATTTTATGACTAAATACATCATTTAACACCAAACTAAGCAAAATATAAAATTTTCACATTCCATCCGAAACTCAATGCTTGCTGACATGGCCCCTTAAAATATTTAAAAGCAGTTTGTTGCTATGGAAACCAGAGGAAATGGTTGTAACATGGTTAGTGGTCATTTTTGTGCATTTTATGACTAAATACATCATTTAACACCAAACTAAGCAAAATATAAAATTTTCACATTCCATCCGAAACTCAATGCTTGCTGACATGGCCCCTTAAAATATTTAAAAACCTTTATGAAAAAATCTAATCAGTCGATTGTCAATATTATTAGCGGACTGCACTGGATAAATCCCCAGGCCAACTTTTTACATCATCTTTGTGGCTCTGTGACATCTGGTTTACCCCTGCCGAATGTCAACCACTTGGAGCATATCGTGCAATAGGTTGACCTTAATTTATATTAATTGATAGGTTGGGTCACATGATATAGAATCAATGTGTGACCTCACCTATGAAAGGATTTGTCAAAATGTTGAAAATTCTAGGAAATATTGCATTTTGAAATTTGCAAAAAATTCACTTTAAAAGGCTCTGTGACCTTGAAAATTAGGTCAAGGTCAATGAAATTGGGTAATCCGGAATAACTTTTCGTAGGCTATCAGTATTTTTTCAGAATTTTAGAAAGAATTTTTTTGACGAAAAATAATAATAAGAATAATAATAAGAACAGGAAAAACAATAGTGATACCCTTTGGGGAATCCTAATAATGAAAAAAGGCACATTTATTACAGCCTACCAGCACTGGAGCCGAGGGTGTGATCCCTGCTTGGTCCGAAGCTGTAAAAAGGGATGTTTCCCTGATTTCGGACCCAGTTCAGATTATTTGAGTAGCTCTGAGTGTAACCACAGAAATCTCCCTCAAACGTGCACTCTTCAGACGCTAGACCTGAAAATATGGGACAATGGTGTAACTCTGATAGGTAGTACAGCATAATGATTTAAAGTTCACGTACGAAATAACGGATGGGGGCGTCACAGATCGTGACATTTATGCATTCATGGATAATATTTAAGAAATCATGTGTAGGTGCACGGCATATGCAATAGATTTAGTTTGATGATGACCCCCCTTTCAAAACCCACACATGCACACAAACACATACACGCCCTTTGATCATTGGCGCTCTTCTCATGGCAGATCTTATGCTAGCGCTCAATCTTTGCATTATTTGAGTAAATGCAAAAAGCAAATTTTAACACCAAACGACAAAAATCAATAGATAAATGCCGATGTAGGTATTATACACTTACCTGGGTCCTTGCACCTGACAGACGCGTCCCGGTAATGGCTACAGGTTGTGGCCCAGTGGGGTTTGTCACATTCTTCTAATGAAGACTCCGTTCCCGTACAGTTTATATAGGACAACCACACCGTCCCGTTCCCTTGGCCAAACCTAGCGCTGGGGTACACCGCTACTGCGCCACTGAAACATAACAGACCAGGTCAGGCGAAACTCTCGTAAAACTTGTGGAGGAATATAACATAGAGGGACAGGCAAATCTATCTTTTTTCATAAGTTCGCATGATTGCATGAATATGATGAAGCATAGCTGGTTGATTCCCGCACCGGTTTATTGGAATCCTGGAAGATTACATTAACATCCGCCGTTATCTTTTAACATCTCACTGGGTACAGTACTTTGGGTATGCACACTTTTCGTCACTTTAAATGGGTCAGGAAAGGGCAGATGTAGTTTTTTATATAAAATGCTCACAAAAGTTGTTCATACCTATATCCCAGCATTCTACAGGTAACGTTCCCGTCTCTGATGTCCCAGCCGTTGTCACACACTGTGCCCCAGTGTCCCAAGTAATAGACCTCAACACGACCTTCACGGGCTACAGAGCCGCCAACCAGCCGCACTGAAACAAGAGAGGTGGAGTGGGTTAATTTTTATCAGGGTCACAGAGAAAAAACATTAAATATTGGCAGCAGATATTTTTCTCTGACTAGCCATTATCTGTGCGTACTTCTGCTCTGTGAGGACTTTTGCACAAGTAAGGCTTAATCCAGCCAGTCTGTACTTGGTACAGAGTGGAGTGAGTCTTGATTCTGTACAATACAATTAAGCTTAATGTCATGAATGTTATATCTTATACTCCTGACATTTAGCCACTTTGGCAATAAAAATACCATATGTATCTCTGGTGAGCTTACATTTTAATCAAACTGTAATTTCAAGGTTTACTGGCCCATTCTATCTAAATAACCGCTCAGCTAATACACAAAATGGTACACGTGTGGAAACAATTTGTTCCATCTTCCTGTATTCCACATTGTTGCTGACATCAAAGTATACATGTAATGTTAGCTTCACACATAGACTTCCTACTTGCTCTTGACGCGCTGAGCGCATGTTTCAAGCACCAAATACTGGTATTTTGATTGTGCAATAGAACAATTTGGGTTTGACACCAAACTTAATTAAACTTAAGACTAGTTTACCTACATTTTGAGGAAATGATTGGTGATTCTTGAAAAAAAACTAATGCTGATATTTCAAAATAATATACATGTAGGCCCTAACCTTGTAGCTTCTCGAGGGGAACGGTTGTAGCGCCTGAATGATGCAAGATGTACAAGATTAAACATCCTTTCTCTCTCTCTCTCTCTCTCTCTCTCTCTCGCTATACATATATATATATATATATAGTGATTAAAGATACGTTTTGTCATCTAACAAACACAGTGTAAAACTCTATACAATCGGCATCGAATACTCAGGCAAATATTCTAGACTTTTGTCTTATCATTCAATTATTTTACACCATTTTAACAATTTTCAATTTAATAAAGTAACCTTCTTGTTTCTTGATATTTAAATCGTCTATGGCAATATCACTGGTGTATGAACGGCCACGCACGGCCTGGAAGGTAATCTAAAAGATAACACATAGCGTGAAATTAAATTCTGATTTTAAGTTTGTGGACTTAGTGCTAGGAATTATAGTTTAATGTGGCTTCCTCTTTACCAAAATGCACAAAACGTTTTATTGAAATCATCTTCCGTTTAGAAATATTCAAAAAGCCAAAGAATATTCTTTTTGTTATAATTCGCCATTCCAAATGAAATTAAAGAACAACAGATTATCCCTAACCGTGAAGTTGCCGCTGGCGAGTTTCAACACTTCAGCGTATTTCCATGCGTTGCCCTGGTTTCCAGAAGCGATCCAGATGAGAGTTTTCCTGCCTTGTACTGTCAAATACACATTCAATGCGCCCATACTAGAGCCATACATGTGATACCAGAATGATATATTATACACCGTCCTTGTAGTGTTGGCAAGAATGGTGGGTGTTAAAAGCTCGGTGGTCCTGCCAGAATAGCCATACGTTCCGTCCACGTACACGTAGTAACCTGTATCAGAACATCATCGCATTTTAAAAAGGTTTCATAGTCACTATAGAAGAAAAAGGTTTTGCTATAAATTCCGGAGGTTTTCATATATACCCTACTACCAACACGTCTACTTTGTCTTTGGCGACCATGGGATTGACCGCAGGACAGAAGTCATATTTTTATTGGCTGTTAAATATCTGAAATACATTCTTAAAAACAACGGACATTTCCCTTTTCTCATCCTCACAGCCACACTCAAACCCGCCGTAGCTTTAAAATCATATTCTGGTTTTCAATTAGGCAAATAGAGATTTGTTTGTCAATAGTTAAATAAAAATAATTTCATTATCAGTCAATAATTCTGCTAATATTTTCTGATAAATCGCAGGAATTTTTTCTATACCTATTGCCAAATGGAACTGTATTCGCCCTATGGAAACACATAGCTACTGAAACTGTTCAACAACTTCTGGTGTTAACTGTTATATTCGACTCCACACTTTGGTATAAACACAAATAACGGCGTTATCTTTACGGAAATCGGTGCCAGTTTAAAAGACAAATGATCTACATAGAAATATTGATAGACAAACACGATTAATGTAGTATTGTAAAAACTAACCTGTGCTCGACAGCGTCGTGTGGTCATAGGTGGGGCCTGTGTAGGAGGAGGATGTGCGGCCACTACGCCGAGTCCACTTGAACGAGCTGTAAGCACTTGACGTATAAGAAGGCATCAAGCCACACATCCCAGCCTCAAAGTTACAGGTTATCCCTGATACTCCAATATCTTAAACGATTTAAAACAAGCGTTGAAACTCACATCGTAAACGCAGTGTTGCTGTCTTTATATAACAGCTAGAATACATGTTTTTCACATAGTCAGCCACCGACATCCAAATGTATCAGGGCTTGGGAGATTTGAATTTCACATTTTTTCTCACTGATAAAATGCCAATATAAAACTTCCTCAGCATGACGAAAAAGTGGATCTTGACAACAATAAGGTTCACTAGAGCTAGATTAATCTGAGCAATCTCTTTCATTGCAGTCGCCTATTACTGAATCCGATAGCAGTTTTCATGAGCTTATTTATTTCCCTTTATCAATATGCCTTAATAAAGTTATTGTTGTTACTTTCTCTGATACGAGTGGCTTAGAAATCTCACAAAACCATTAACCCTGTACTTAACTAACTTTGGTGTTTTCGAATTCAGTGTTATAAGACCCAAAGCTTGAGAACTATCGAGGCTAAATCATACCTGAAAAGCACTGGACGCCTGCTACGTCATCGACATCACACCCAGAGTAATCCCAATACGTTGCATAGCGACATCCTTTGATATGAGTGACCGAATCTATGCAGTTGAGGGTTATGATCGGTCGGTTGTTAGAAGGGGCATTGCCGAAGTTAGAGTTGAAATATATGGCGCCAGTCAAATTCCTGTTAATTGAAACTGCTCTAAGTAAAATATTTGAAATCTGATTTTATCAACTTTAATTGCACAAACTGTAAAACATAAAAAAAATAAAAATCACATTTTCCTTCAAGTGTCATGCATTAAAGCCAAAAATAAATTTTGAAATAAAATTTGATTCTTTTTAAATGATTACCTCAAAAAGATATTGCTAATATAAAAATGAAACTATTTTAGTTCACAAAACACTTTCAAGTATATTGATAATATGTTTGTTCAGCTATCACAATCCACTGATACATGAAGTGATGAAATTATTAAGAAAAAGATAATAAATGAAAAAAAACCCTCAATACAGGAAAGCAGCGTCTAGTAGAGGGACTTGTAAAAAAGAATAACTAGTACAAGTAATATTTTCATAATTATATCTAGAGACAAGAACCCTAAATCATACCCATATCCTAGCGTTCTACACACAACTCTAGCGTCGATCGAATTCCAGCCAACGTCACAGACGTAACGCCAATAGTTGCCATACTTCACTTGCACGTTGCCCTCGTATTTGGAATTAGAGTCTACCAGTCTTACGTCAGTGATCTGTGACGGGCTGGCAGGAGAAGTGGTGGGTCCTGGAATTACAGATATCAAAGATATACAATCATAATATTAATTTAGGCGGGTGATTACCACTCCTAAGGACGCATCATTCAGGACTTCAGATTTATCACATATCTCCACTGCACTTCCACATTGCTGTTATATACGAGACGTTTAGAATCGACTTTCTACCGAAAGACGAGCAATATGTACATCTACTACATGAAGAAACAAGAACTATTTTCCTGAATTCCATCCGATCAGATTTTAATTCAACGTTGCAAATTCATGAGACGATGTCTTGTAAATTGTAAGTATAGTATGCCAATCACGGATTATCCGGGAGTTAGCTAGCTCACGTAGTTGACATTTTGTCGTCTGCAAAATGACGTCACTTACGTGAGACGTCTTTGAAATTGATGTTTCAATTGATTTTCAAAAATGCAAAATATCAAAAAAAAAAATCATGGTGCTAGACTGGGTTCCCATGCTAAATATCGGTCCACCTGGATCGATCAGACTCCCTGGGGAGTCTCACTAAATTGCTATCAACTAACCTGCTTAAATATCTGCCACGCCTACCGAACCAGCTAGGGGGTAAAGAAAATTACTCCCTAACAGCCTTACTTGACGTAACAGGTATTTAAGCCGACGGGAATTTAGTGAGACTCCTTAGAGAGATAGATCGATCCAAATATCTGTTTAAAATATGACTACACTATATCTACTTGTTTTCTGCACAATAAGTCTTGTACGTAAGATATGGTATCTGTAATAAAAGTCTCATTTCAATGGCTGTAAAGGAAAAACTTGTAAACAAAGACAAACATTTTTGGTGTGTCAAATTTTTTTATCAAGATTGCAAATAAGATATACAAGATGCAAGATCCGATTGTTTCGTTTTTTTTTTTTTTGTTTTTTTTTTTTTGTTTTTTTTTGTAATTAAACCTGCGTTAGATTGCTAGCGATGGGGTGTATCGATGCTCCAAAACCACTTTTCAAAAAGCTGTTTAAAACAGCTAAAGATTCCACCAAGATAAATAAGATAATTAACTAAAAATAGTATACTCCACGTAGCTAGCTTCGATATATTGAAATGCATGTACCGAGATACAACTAATTGGATAATCCAATCAGACTGAATAGAACTTGCTCGATTCTGCAACTTACCCGGGTTACACCTGACTGTCGCCACCTCCTGATTACATCTGATAAAAGGGTTGGCTAACGTATGGCGGCATTGGGTGACATTTGTCTCGTTGCCAACACAGTCCAGTATCAACCCCAATGGAGTAGAATCCACCGTAGAGAAGAACGATTGGAACAACACCTCTGCTTGAACGCTAGAAGAGAGGATATCTTTATTGTGCCCTTTAGGATCAAAGAAAGATTTTTGGGTTTGTTACCATGAAAAATCTCAATGGACATCAGATCTGTGACATAACACCTCATATCCACACAATGCAGCACTTGAGTAGACCTCTATTCACCTCTATTTTGAATGAGAATACAGGGGATAAAGACTCTTATGTTTTAAGAGGCTTGGCCGTTCGGTTCTTTGACAACGAGCCTTATATTTAAAAAAAAAACTGATTCATAAATGGAAAAATACGGAAAAATGAGAATAAAAATTGAAGACAAGTGCACTTAAATATCTATAATCTTTCTAGTAAAAATTCCTGTAAAAGAAGATAAGGAAATAGTTACTAGACGAAATATTGGTAATCTGACTATAGGTCTAATTTACGCATATACATTTAGAATTGCCACAACACCTTCCGTCACGAAATGTATGCTGAGATGACAAAGCAGAATGTACAACCAAGGGTTTGGATTCTAAAGAACACAAAAGATCTAAAACCATGCACAAAATATATCCCAAGCTTCTCTGTCATTAAACTATGCATACTAGTACAACCATATATAATAAAAAAATCCGTCTGCTTTAAGCTTACCCCAGTCCTAGCGTCTTGCAAATCACGTGCGCATCAGCTGAGTCAATTAGGCGGTCACAGATGTAGTACCAGTGTCGTCCTATCAGCACCTGCACATGCCCCGCACCATGCTCCCACATATCTGCCAGTCGGACGTTCCTAACCGCAGATATATTGCGTACAGGGGGGAGAGTTGTGGTGGTAACACTTGTGGGTTGTGTAGGAGGCAGCGCAGTGGGTTTCAGTTCATCTAGTAAGCAAAGATCGACAGCAGAGTTCGGATCAATTTCTTTTTATACAAAGGGAAACTTGACCCATGAAGTACGTCTTAATTCATTGATTTAATCAGTGGATAGTTAAGACATTCTATAGGTAGGTTTAAATGAAAGTTAAGCCCTTGTATTGGCAGGTGTAAAATGAAAGTAGGATCTTTATGATTATTCTTTTTTTTTTTTTTTGTTTAGAGGATGTCCCATTACATACTTTCGTACAAGATACATCACTATCCTGTGACATCTTTAAAGGAAAGCAGACGTACCTTGCTCGCCCACCTTAAGCGTCCATTTGTCGCATGTGGCGGTGTATGTGTATGACGTAATCTGTCCGTACGTGGCCACCACATTCTGCAGTACGGCCGAGGCGACGTCTTCCTTTTCTGGACAGCTCACGCTATCAAACTTAATGTTACCTGACTTCACTCCATCGCGTCTACATTTGATGATCTACCGGTAGGTAAGACGTGAATGAGTGGTTAAATGTTTATCTAGATAAAATATGCCTGGATTCTTCTACATTTTATTACATATAAAATTCAGCACTACATAGGATAACTTAAGAATATTCTTTATTTGGCTATTAAATCAAGAGAAAGCCACCAATTCATACATGTCAATACACACTTACCTTTGTACGCATGAAATATTTAAACATTGTAATTACTGCACATTACAGTTGGGAGAGAGAGAGAGAGAGAGAATACAACTTACCCTGGAAACAGTCGCATTGGGATCAATAACCCAAGACGTGTCCATACCAGATATCAACACCAACATAACATTGTTCACTTTAGGGCTACCAATCACCGACACCATCACTTCAGCTTCATCCTTCCCGACAGAGTCCATACTTAGGACGTGGATTTCATAATTGCTATCAGCCTTATATCGTAAGCAACTGAACACGTTCGCGGTCGGCACAATCTTCCCGTCCTTCCACGGGGTAGCAGCACTGTCTGTTCTAGAGGACGGCTCCACCTCACATCCACTGAACTTCTGCTTCTGCTGTAACTGCAAAAGAGTGAGCACATTTTTTTGTTATCAACATGCAGAAAAAAAGAGGAATTAAGCGCAAACCGTATTTATGTTGTATATGTGATTCTATTTTTCCTCAGACAAATTAGTTTTCCTTTTTCCTCGATATACAGCTCATATAATATACAGTTATTTACGGCCATACGTACATGTATGCTTATATAACGCCTTCCACAATTATAGCAATGAACTGTTTTCTTCTGCGTCTCAACAACAGAATAATGGTATGTATTGATAAAGATTCAAAACTACTGTTTAGTGAGCTACACATACAACGAACCGTACACAAGTCCATTTATTAAAAAAAACAAGCAATATATTTATAATATACCGTAGTAGGTGAACTGCCGTTACTGGTTTCAGTACCCCCTCTTTGGATAACGAAGAGAACCAGACCCGCTGTGAACATCACTAACACTGTTACTGCCACGATCACAAACCCGACAGCACAGCACCGCTTGTGGCCCATGCGCCGCCTGTTCTCTACTATCGCTGTGCTACCGGTGACGGAAGATCGATCCGACATTCGTCGGTAGATCATACCCCGCCTGGACTCATTTCGCATTGGGGCTGGAGGAGTGTTGGGGTCGTTAACTGATTTAGGTGGCGGATTTTCGTATCCATCATTATCGTAGGCGTGGGTCGCGCCTCCTTCGGCCCCTCTGATGTCCCCAAAATCCAAGCTTGTGTAGTCAGAGACATCGCCGTATGGCGGCAAAGGGGTTTGGGAGATCACTTCATTTCTAGAGCTCTGCACTGTCGACTCGGGCTCCGTAATATTCGCTAAGGCGTGCGTCTCCATGGTGTACTGAAAAAAAAGTCTAGTCAAACAACTGCAGTTTTGAGCCTGAAGTGCCGGGGCAAACCATTCTGAGTTACATGTATTTGGCAAGATGAGCACATATTAAACACATATTAAACTGGCATACTGCAGGGAAGAGGCCTCGCGATTTTTCATAAAATTTTTGCATAAAATTAAGGCCCGTATCCGTCTTTCAAGAGACTGAAATATCCCTATCCACGTCAGAGCCTCGGACTGGCTGTTCCCTATACTCTTAATATACCAAGTGAACTCTCATCGAATCATATGTTTGTACCCGGTATTTATGACACATATGACACCCGATATTTATGACACATGTTTAAATTGCACAGGTCTATCGATGCACAGATTTTTTTTCTGTTTTAAGTGTACCAGTCAACACACGCAAAAAAAAAAAAAAAAAAAAAAAACACTCATTCCGCTCCAGTAACTTACATTTACAGTTTATCTTATACATGTAGTTGCAGTTGATGTGACATCACATTGTGTTGATTTGTTGTGATGGTTACCTGTTTAAGAAAAACTTCATTTGGTGCACACACTTGTAAGCGTGTTGTATCTGAACTTACTCCATTTCGTACCTCGGCTTCACATTGAAATAATTTCACTCCCTCCCGATAAGACCGTCTCCCACGTATACTAAAATGCCATAGGCAGAAAATGTACAGAAAACGAAAATCAAAACTGACCACCGCTCTAACATAAGGCATATATAAAGAGAACATGTATTTTTTTCATAAACAAGTTTTTAAAACCATATGACCCCCTACAATACTCGAACTCTGGAGGTCACAATATAAGTCGATGTGGCTGGTAACTACCAGTATGATATGAAATTATTACTTTATATTTATTTCTACAAACTAGAAAAAGTATGTCCGGTGTGACAGGAATGGTAGTCCAAAAATCCTACACACATTGTTCATTGTACTGTACTGCATAAGAAACCCAACACTTTTGATATATTGATTATACTCATTTTACAGCGAGTAATCTAATTTATCGTACATGTGAAAATTTTTTTCTATGTCATGAGACGCTTCATACACGACTCGCATGTTGATAATTTAATGGGAACGTTAATGTGATCTTAAAGGTTAACGGGGGTGACTTGAGTCGATCCATTCATAAGGGTCATTATTTGTAATGCCAATGGGATTGCAAGATTTTCCTTCATATTTTGTCATACAAACATTATTTACGTGCCATGTGTATAGAACACCCAGCCCTGTTGTATTCAATTTTTCCGGTCTGAAATCAAAAATCTAAACAATTAATTTGTCTAATTGCCTCAATTTTTTTTCATTGAATAACTGAAGGAAAAATTGAGACAGATGTGTATTACAAAACAACAGACACAAAACAATATCTCCCTTTTAACTCGTGTCATCCCAGACACATTAAGCACAAAATACCATACAATCTAGCTCGAAGACTATGCACAATTGTCTCAAATAAAACCATATTAAAACAAAGGCTCAAAGAGCTGGAAGGATTTCTATTAAGGAGACAACTGATACAAACTGGGATTAAAAAAGCAAAACAGATACAGAAGAACGACCTGAGGACCACCAAAGACAAAATTAAAAAGGAAGCCATGTCGTACATATCAACATATAATATAAAAAAACCCGGAAGTACACAATGTTATAACTAGAAACTTACCTTTGGTAAAACAAGATGACAAAATGAATGAGATACTAACTGAAATGCAGATTATAAAGAGTAAGAGACAAAGTCCATCACTTAAGCAAATTTTAACAAAAGCAAAATTTAAAAACAATGCCAGGACAAATATGGAAACCTCAACAATACGAGTGCAGAAATGTGAGGTACCCAGGTGTGGCATCTGTCCACTAATTAAAGAGGTGAGCCATCTAACATGGACTTACATTTATATTTAACCCCCCATTCACCTGCACTAGCTCAAATTTAATTTATGTATCGACTTGCAGTGGATGCGGTGAGAACTATATAGGACAAACCAGAGACACTCTCCGACATAGACACAGACAACAAATAAGACAACCTAAATATCAGTGCACGTCTGTGAGTGGGCACATTAGAGAATGCTCTATGAACAAAAACAAGGACTTCACAGTATTCCCATTTTATAAATTCACTAGGGAAACAACCCAAACAAAGAAAATTTCTTTATTAATAAGTTTTAACCTACATTAAACCAAGGAGTCTGTTATAACTCCTTGATTAAACAGATCCTAAAGCATTGGTCAAAGCAACAATCCAATACCCATTGTCAGAGACATCACATTGAGTCTTTATGACATCACTTAGTAACCAAAATAAACAACCCCCCTGAAGATGCAATGAAACCGGTCGGGGCAAAATAACTGCTGTTCTTTATTTCTTTTTATCATATATATATGCATATATATCGGAGAATGAAGTCAATACACCATGAAAAAGTGCTCCACCCATGATGGCGGCCCGTGGGGAGCTGGTATATAAAATCAAGGATACGAATAAATTAGACTTTTCTCTCCATTTTATCAATATTTATTTATTTATTTTTTAATAAAATGGAGAGAAAAGTCTAATTTATTCGTATCCTTGATTATATATATATATATATATATATATATATATATATATATATATATAACTGCAATTAAGATAATTAATTGTATTTATGTAGAAAATAGTTTGTTTTAGTGGTGGTATTAAAGGAATGTCTTAGCTGCTGTGTATCTAGGCACACACATTTATATTTTATGAAAGATGTTTTGGGGACTAATTCTATCGAGCTGAATCAGTGAGAAGTCATTCAGCTTTGTAGCTGCGGAGATATTTACCCGCAGTTTTAGCAGCTACACTGTATTATTACTTACGTTTCTTTATTGTTATTTGTACATGAGTTACCAGCCATTACATTTTTGTGGTTTCAAGATTTGGGGACGGCCAGTTTTCTTGATATACTTGGTGACTGTATTTTCTTCGGATTATTCTGTTTTCCCAGCCACCAGTTTTGTTATCAAGTTTCGGCGATGGCTGTTTCCTTTTATTTGAGTGACTTCAAGTTCTGGGATCACACACAGGCTAGTAATTTTATATTATCTTCAATTGTTCCCTTATTCATGTGTTCTTATCATAAGACTTATAATTTGTCATGTGCTGCAGTTGTTAACTATTTTGTTTAGATGTCACTGCATCGTGTTATTCTTTTAAAAAATCTTCTTATGTGTAGCTATTACATTTATGCTGAAACTTACCGGGCCAGGAATTCCGCTGTTTTTATATTTTCTCGGCTGTAGTTACATGCCGTAATCCATACATTTCTGTTATTGTCTCCGTATCCGCATTCCCAGGTGCCATAATTTAATGGGTTTCTGGTCGACTAGGTTACATGCATTTTTGGAGTTGTTTTGCTCTTTGTTTTGGGTGTACTTCCCAGGGCCAGGTTGCACCAACCGGTCTTAAGTGAGGCGTAGCAGTTGCGCCGGCGTAAACCGGGCGCAAAATGCCACGCCCGAGAAAAGCCAGTTGCACCAAACTGGAATAGAGTTTACGTCGGTCTTAACTTAGTCGTAAATTTACGCCTGCCAGCTAGGTGGTGTAAGTCGGTCGTAGCTCGTTTTCCACTATGTCTAGGCTGTCACAGAGAGAGTTTGATGACAATTATCGTAGTTAACGTAGAAAATGTGGGTTGTTATTTGTTTGTTTCTTCCACAAAACTTCCGTCTGTAAAGTTTGATATATATATATATATATATATGTTTTACTATATATAAACATAGAGGTCTCTTGTATTTCTTAATCTANTGATATATATATATATATATATATATATATATATATATATATATATATATATATATATATATATATATATGTTTTACTATATATAAACATAGAGGTCTCTTGTATTTCTTAATCTACAAGATGTAAGCTCGATTGAATTAAATGATACCTCACGGTGTAACCATAGAAACAATGCCATAAAATTGTCAGTTGCACCAAACTGGAATAGAGTTTTACGACACTGTTGTAAAATTACGAAAAGAAAGCAATGTTGGCGTTAAAGGCCCAGTCACAAATCAGTTGCGATGCGTCGGGATGGGTAAAACCCGGGAAATTTGAACAAAATCTTGAGACAGATCTCACGATTTTGCACCCGTCGGAGGCGTAAATTTAATAAATTTAATAAAAATGATAATCCAATAGAGCTGGTTTTCTAATATGAGCTGTATGTCAATCCTAAGAATCATTCTTGTAAGTTGTAAGAATAGTTAAAAAAATAGAAAGTAACACTTTACTTTACATAATATTAATGGTGCCAGAGCACAAAGTAGGGTTTTTGTCAATTTTGATGCAACATTACATAATGATTAACTAATTAAATACCACCAAATTTTAAAAATCTACTATTAAAATACGGACATTAAGAAAATTTGATTACCACTGGGCTTCTTGCCCAAGGGAGCTCTAAGTCCCACATTGAAAATTGCAACATGTGAAAGATAAAAATGTTCACAAAAAACCTGTATTACTGCCAAACAATTAACTAATGAGACAATTTTTCAACTGAAGCTGTATTTCAGTCCTATGTTTCTTTCCTGTAAGTGTGAGAAGAGCAAGTGACATGGTTTTCCTTTCACTGCCACTATGGAGGCAGTGCCCAGAATAGGGGTTTGTTCAATTTTGATGCAATATTACACAATGCTTAACAGCATAATAACCATGATTTTTTTAATAATAAAATAAAAGTATCATGGATATTCAGAAAATGTGACTAGCCCATAGAGTTCAGAGTCATACTTTGAAAATCCCAAAATGTAAATAAGAGAAAACTGTATTGAAAGAGTTTATTTCCATTTTCAATATTTACATAAAGCAAAATAATCAATTTACTGTCATTTTTATATGATCAATCAAAAAATATGTTGTCAAAGCAAAAATATCAATAGAACAATTATAAATGTCTAACTTGCTCCATTCTGAGATTCTGAACATAGTGAATGGTTGAATCTGACAAACTGTAAAGATATGAGTTTTTTCCATTTTTGACACTTATTACACAATACACGATATCAGGTTTACCATCATTTTTATATAATCAACTAACAATGTTGTTAAGATGCAGAAAATGTCAAAAGAACAACTTAACATATCTAATTAGTTCAAAAATGAATCTGTTAACATGTCTGAGAATTAAATTTGAGGAAAAAACACTTATATACAAAAAAAGGTATAACTTCACCAAACCTTTACTGATCAAGCTTATTTTCAAAAAAATATCTGTATTTCAGTAACACTGATCACTACTGTGAATTTCAAGACAATTGGCCAATCAATTTTCCTTAAAATGTGTTATAGGTGTTGCATATATGCTGAAAAAAAGTGAAAAAACAGCAAAACTTTTATAAAAATGCCCAGATCATGCCAATTTTCGAACTTGACTTGCGTATTATAGACATTCATCAGTTCTATAAGTTTCAAGCCAAAAAGTAAAGCGGTTTTTCACTTATCGTGTTATCAGGGTTGCATATATGCTGAAAAACCTGCATAACTTCCATATAAATGGCCCGATCAGGCTGATTTTCAAACTTGACCTGCGTATTGTAAATATTTATCAGTTCTGTAAGTTTCAAGTCAAAAGGTAAAACGGTTTTTCAAATATTGTGTTATCGGTGTTGCATAAATGCTGAAAAAAAGTGAAAAAACAGCAAAACTTTTATAAAAATGCCCTGATCATGCTGATTTTCGAACTTGACCTGCGTATTATGAATATTCATCAGTTCTGTAAGTTTCAAGCCAAAAGAAAAAACGGTTTTCCACTTATCGTGTTATCGGTAAAAGTGCACGGCGACGACGGCGACAACAGCGACGGCGACGACAGACGCAGGTGATGGCTATATGTACAGACACATCTGTGTCTGTACATAAAAATGGTCCAATCAAGCTAATTTTCGAATTCGACCTGTATTTTAGTAAGATGTATCACTCCTGTAGGTTTCAAGACAATAGGCCTATCGGTTTTTCCTTGAAATGTGTTATCAATTTTGCATATATGCTGAAAAAAGCGAAAAAATAGGCTGAGCATAACTTTTTTAAAAAATGGCCCGATCATGCTGATTTTCGAACTCGACCTGCGTATTTTGAATATTCATCAGTTCTGTAAGTTTAAAGCCAAACGGTAAAACGCTTTTTCATTTATCGTGTTATCGGTGAAAGTGCACGGCGAAGGCGACGGCCACGACGGCGGCGACAGACGCAGGCGACGGCTTATGTAAAGACACATCCATGTCTATACATAAAAATATGAAAAAAAGCCAAGCACTGTTGGTCGCCAAGCTATCCCCAAAGGATGCCCAAACAACATTCGTTTGTCTTGTAGGAAGCAAAAAGCTTGTAGAATACTCGTCACTGATGGCCACTGGTCACCTGCAACGTCTATAATTGCATTAGACGCCGTATAGGTACATGTAATAAATGGTTGCACAGATGACACACAGGGGAGACAGGCAAGTTGCCCAGTGGACACAAAGGTCGCTCGTTGTTCTACAGGATTAGACCACATTTGGTCACTTAAACGCTCTTTTCACTGGACGTTCTTTTTGCGACCATGAAACTGGCATTGCTGTGGTGGTAAAAAGTAGGCACAAGCATCCCTTTGGTTGCAGAATGAATTCTCAGTGATCGGCCAGTTTTCGGCACGTTAAGTATTTTTACTCTCAAACGAGGCCGTGCTACGGGCAGAGAGGATTGCACAAGGGTCGCAGGAGCATTTTAGGCGACCACTGAACGTCCTGGCCATACTTTTGGCAGTAGAAGGGAGGCACAAAGGCTACAGTTAGGTGTAAAGGGTTTTTTTCACAGTTTAGAGGTCCACGCTAAGATGATATAGGCGCATTGTACAGTACAATGTCGCAGATGACCCCTGCACCAGAGTGTTTTGAGTGAATTAAATGAAAGTTGCATCTTAATGATATGACGAGAGATTTTTAATCAAGTAAACTTACCTTTCAGAAAACCCTTCCAAAACAGTTGTCTACATAAATTTAGGTAAACACATCCCCTTCGTCTTAATGCTGCTTTACATCGTAACAGGATGTGAAGAAACTGGGTTACCGCCCTTTCACTCACGTAGCCCCTTTTGTGCGACACCACTGCGCGCACTATGCTCAAGTTACTGTAGTTATTTATCCAAAATACACTTCAAGGTTAAATCTGACAGGTGTGTTTTTACGCCTATTGATTGTTAGCAGACGACAGAACGTGCCCGCCTGGGTCGCTTGTGGTGGGAAATATCTGTGTTATGTGCTACGTGTAGTCCTTTCCCGTATGATATTTTATGTTTGTGTGCATCTCACTGTCTGCGAAAATGTTTGTTTCCAAAGTGCCCACCCCCATAACCGAGATTTTTGCGAAAAAATTATCTATAGTGGTAGCCTTTATTCCCTTACTCCCAGTCCATCAGAAGTACCTTACGGCACGCGGTACAAATCACCTGGTTGCATGTAATGTAGGCCTTCAACAGCTAGCTGTCAACCATAAGCCTTTTTCTCTCAGCCTACTGCTCGGGTGTCCACTCTCCATCGTGTATTAAGCTTAGTCAGTAACCTCTTTGGGATTGACCTTTACCCTGGAGACTATCAACCGTAACTTCCCTATAACAATACTTTAGATTTAGAAAAATGTGGTGAATATTATCAATGAAAACAGAAACACTTTAATTACAGTCAGATTTACTCGTCGAAAGAACCTTAAGTGAACAAGTGCGATGTTCCTCTGTAACGCCACGCCGCCTCTTGTACAGTATTCAGCGAAGACTTTGGCGCCTCTTGCAGTAAAATAAGGCCAAGAACGAGAAGAAGGTTTCAAAAATAATAGTAAACAACTTACAAAATGAAAAAATATAGAAATATCCCTTTCCTAAATTAATAATAATGACAAGTTAATATCTAAATGAAGACAGAATATGAAAAAGTGAATACAGTGACGGCACAAATTGTCGCCCGGCACAAATTGTCGCCGGCAACAATTTGTGCAGGGACTGTTGGCACAAATTGTCGCCGGCACAATTTGTCGCCGGCACAAATTGACGTCTTTCGGTGGCGACAAATTGTGTAGGCATTGATGGCACAAATTGTCGCCGGCACAAATTGTCGTCCTTAGGTGGCGACAAACTGTGTAGGAATGTCGGCACAATTTGTCGCCCTGCACAAATTGTCGCCAGCTACGATAATGCATACAATAAATCTCAATAATAATGCATATACTTACTCTTATACAATCTGGGTGCAATTTTATGATTGCCTTACTCTTCCATATTTTTCCATCTATTTGCTGATACTCTGACTTCCTTAATTTGCTTTCGACCCTCCATTTATAAATAAGTGGAGATGGTTATTATCGGCTAGCATCACGTTTGATACATTATATTCTAGCCGTTAAACCTCGTTTACCGAAAGGGGTGGTTCCCCTCGAGATTTTTTTCACTGCATAAAAGCGCAAAAGAGAATCCGACCTAGGCATCAAAGTAACTGTAAGTTCATCTTTTGCGGTAATTTTGATGAAAAAAATGTCGGGGTGAAAGATGGGGGTAGGGAAACAAACTTCGGGTGTAGGGGATGGTTGCCCCTCCGGACATTTGTAAGTCGCCATTTTAAAAATATCTTTATGCTATGGAGCTGAAACTTACAGAATATGTTAGAATCGTCATTTCTCCTCTTTATAACCAGGTAAAATTCTGATATTTGAAACCTTTATAGCGAATTTTTAAATTTTCGCTTATTTTCCCCAGTTTCAGCCAAATTATCAAAACTTTCAGGTCGGTCGACCTTTATGACGTCATTATTACGTAACGCATTGGTCGATTTTCATGATCTTGATATACCTAGATATAGGAGCCCTTATACAATCTTAGTAAACACCAGTACTTAATGTGTGCCAATTTCAAAATCATAGAGGGGGTAGTTCCCATCCCCTCTTCAGTCATAATGTTACAGAAAATGGCTCAGGTAGCCGAGAGTTATGCAGGTGTAGTAGGAATAAAAGTACCCTGTAATATTAGTCCGGGCTCTACCGTAAAGTAAAGGCAGTCTACACACAACATTATTTTTCTATGGAAGGGTTGACACAACCCCCTAACGATTTTTTCCTGCCGCTAAACATTCCTTAGACATATCGCTAAACGACCTTTAGGTTGATCCTTTGCGCTCATTTTAGTGAAAGCAAATCGAACCTACCACCTTCCCGGGGGTACTTTGTCTGTTTAAAGATGAGAGGTTAGGGGAAGTGTAAATGCACCTTTTAGCTATTTTAAATAGATATCCATTTCGAAGTTATTATTCAGTTAAAACTAGTAGTTTTCTTTACTACTTTGCAAAAAAAGAACCCATGAAAATCGGATTTTCCTGTGATTTTTTACGACATTTTGATTTTTCCTATATTTTCCGAAAAAAATGTCAATTTTTCGGTTTTTCGGTAAATATGACGTCATAGTGACGTCATACGCTCACGGATGAAGTAGATTTTGGTATCAATGGAAAGAGGGGACAGATACCTATCCATTGGTACCACATACGGGGTATAGGGGGTTCGTTGTGAAAAAATAGGGGGGTTGCAACACCCCCTCCGTATTATATGTCAAAATCGCTCCGTATAACAAGGATTAAGTAATACGTAATTATTTGCAGAGGATTCTGCTCACATATAACCGCCAACACGTACACATGATAAAACTAAAAACATTAATGCGATGATGACTTTCTCACTTTTTTCTACCCGAAAAAGTCCTATTTTTAGCCGCCATGCCCGCAACAAGGAAATGAGAGCATTATAAAACGCAAAATTACGAGACACATTATGAGACATGCCCGCAATATGACAAAAGTCATGTTTTTATGCAAGACGGAATACTTGACTTGTGTCTTTTTGAAGAAATGTATCTGGTCCACTAATAAACCCAAATAGCATAGAACAGCAGCGTGGCCGTTTGCACTGCTGTGTTTGGTGAAACATACACGCACAGCCGACATCTGCCATGATGTCCATTTCATAGTCCATTGTTGCATTCTTGAGTGGATAAATTGTCCATCTATCTCATCTTTTCCAACACAATTGTGATAAAAGTCGCATTTATAATTTCAGTAAAAAGAAAGATTTTTGTTACTATCACAATGAATATCGTCAGTCATGAGAGAATGGATCTCGAAATGGACGCTAGACCACCTGTGGCACTCACAGCATTCATTTCGAGAGGCATTTCTCATGACTGAGGACATTTATCAGTCATTTGCTAAATAAATGAAGTCAGTAAATAAGCAACTAGATAGAAAACAGTCATGAACGACTGAAAAAATAAGTAAGTTGCTCGAACATTAATTAATTTATTTAACATTTTAATTAAAATTAACTAGTGCTAAAGCAGCAGGGTGGCGCATTCATTCAAATGGGTCACTTGTCGGACTGGATTTATTTACTTTTCCTAACGAACCCTTCATTTGTATGTACGCACACAAATTATTGTATATACATTATTGTAGCTGGCGACAATTTGTGCAGGGCGACATATTGTGCCGACAATGCCTACACAGCTTGTCGCCACCTAAGGACGACAATTTGTGCCGGCGACGATTTGTGCCATCAATGCCTACACATTTTGTCGCCACCGAAAGACGACAGCCCCTGCACAAATTGTCGCCGGCGACAATTTGTGCCGTCACACATGTACATTTACCCCTATTGATTGTTAGCAGACGACAGAACGTGCCCGCCACCACAGCCTCTCTCAACTTTTTTAACACTGGTAGTTGACGATTGATTTATTATCATAAAACACTGTGAGGCATAATTTAAATGTTTTGTAAAATAAGGAGACAGTATGTACATTTTGAAGAATGCTACCAAAAAAAAAAATCTTAGCGCGAAATAACCTTGCAATTTTAACAATAACAATGTAAGGGTGGGTGTAATTCCAAATCATTTACGCCGCAACGATCTCGTAACAAATGTCACTGAACGACTAAATATTGGGGAAAATCTAATAAAAAAGAAAACATAAGTGCAACAGTTTCAATTTATTGTCACGGTATGTATGATTGTGTTTACACACTATCCCACTCCTACAGCACTTGCTATGCATCGCATTCATTAGACAAGTCATATATCGGGTTTTGGAAACGGACTTGGTCGCTGGCCTTGCTGCTGGATGACGTTTTCTTTGAGTGTACCTTGGGAGTTACATTAGGCGAATCTCTGTTATCTAGAATTAATACTTTATCCTCTGGCCCATTCCGTCTGCGTCTGTAAGGTAAACAACTCAATTGGTATCTTACAAGTTACAAGTCAAATAAAGATTAAATAGTCGTATTATACTTTTTAAATCAAGTTCATATCTTTCGCCACAAACTATAAATAAGTGGTCCATTTCTAAGAAATATTCAATTAAGCTGAAATATTAAACATATGTAATGGAAGTTTATTTGACTAGAATAAAGGAATGCTCACAACAGAACTAATCAGTGTTTCCCAACTGCCTGCCGACACATTGAAACGCTGGCTACTATTAACACAAAAATAGCGACCAACCCTGCTGTGCCGCCTCCTATAAAGGTCGCGTTTTCTGAACGATACAAACCTACGTGTATAGATAGGACACGTCGTGGCTGTACAGCAGGAAAGAGTTGTTGTCTAGAATACTGAAATTGCCAAGAAAAATCAACAGCGGTTTCTATGTATTAAAATGCGTCGCAAATATCTATTTTGATTAACATATACCAAGCATTGTTGACATGTTTACTAAAAGATTTCAGAGCCGACGTTTGTAATTTAAATATTAATTAAGAGAGGACTTGTATACAAATTCTTGAATTGATGAACAAAGACACTGGTTGCGGATCAAGTATGCTTCCTGAGAGTGTTGCTTTGAAATGTGAACCACGCATGCTCACAACTGTCTCCTCCCTTTCCATAACGGATACAACTCCACTCCCAGTGTGCCTCTCCACGCCTGGTCTCAAAGTGGGTACGATCAGAGTCGGTGATGTGACTGGTGTGGACTTCCCCAGTCTAGGAGAAACTGTTTCTCTTGACTTCGAAGTGTTTGGGATATTTGGGGGCAAGAGATGTCATCATATGTTTTTTTTGCTTGCTGATAGTTATGCCATGATCCGCCTTCGTTGGTGGTTTTGTTTTTAGGACTGTGCTTATTGTGGAAGACGTAGTAAACGCTGTAGCTGTGTCGGCTGTGGTAGCACGTAATGGGATTGTAGTTGTTAGTATGGTGGTTGTTGTTTTTGACTTTGTGGTTTTTGTCGTGAGGGTGGGTTGCATTTGCAGTTCTTGGGGATCTGGTTGTAGTTGTGGGAGTTGCGGTTGTTATTGTGGGGGTTGTAGTACTAAATGGGATATAGATTGTACTATTGGGGATTTCGGTTGCAGTTGTGAGAGTTGTAATGGTGGTTGTGGGAGATGTGGTGGTAGTTGTAAAGGCTGGGTCACACTGCGCTTGCAACCTTTTGGCAACCTTTTTGCAAAATCTGGCGGTCGCTTGCGATCACTTTGCAAGCTAATTAAGAAGCTATGGCCAATTTGGATCGGCAAGCAGTCGCAAATCGGTTGCAACAAGGTTGCAGTATGGTATCTGCAACATCTTATAGACCATCTTCAAGTTAAAGGTTAACAGTCGCACACCGTTTGCCGAGCGATAAACAACCTGTCTGCAACCACTTGGTGATTGAAAACCGGTTACAAGACTGTAGCAATCGCTTGTCAACTGGTAGCAGCAAGGTGACACAGAATATACATGTTGCCAACTTGTGACAGTAGATGCTTTCTCAAAAATTCCCCTCTCAAAAGACAAAAAAATCTAGTAAAATGGCTCCTTTTCAAAAAGACGGGACTGCTACAGTGTATAATCTTTGTTTACCTAAGAAGTAAAAAGAATGAAAAAACTCAGAAGTACTGGGTGAGACCGTGGATTGCAAGACGCCCCTTGTAAGGCGATTACAAACATTTGATGAAAGAACTTGGACTTGAAAATCAGGAAGTTTTCATTTCCTTCCTAAAAATAGAACCAGCAATGTTTTGTGAACTTTTGAAAAGACTACAGCCTCAGTGCTGTAATAAAAACATAAATTTGCATACGTTTTATCCTTATAAATCTTATAATACTCTTTAATATTTTCTTGTTCAAATACTTGGTCTCTTTGAGGTCGCAAGGCTTGTGCTGTTACGGTCACACTGAACAAAAAACCTCTTTGCGACTTGCAACTGTCACCGGTTGCTAAAAGGTCGGCGAGCGGTTGCAACAACTCGCAAAGTGGTTTCCAAATGAACGCTGGGTTGATATCCGGTGGCACCGGTTTTCGGTGCAGCACCGATAACCTCCTGTCGACTTGTCGAAAAATCTACTTGTGGTATCCAACCGGTTGCTAACAGGTAGACGACTGCTTTGCAACTGATTTGCAACTGATTTGTGTGGTTTTCTCTTTGTCTTTTTAACCCCAGGCGTTTGCCACTTACAATACAACGTTATTAAATCGTGACAGGTTGTGCGCATCGTGTACTTTTTACACTCTCATCCTTGTAGTGAGGATACCAAGCACTGGAAGGATGTTAAATTATTTGTGTTGAAACTATTTTTATTTAAGATTATTGAGCACGTTCAACGATCTGTTCAATTATTTGAGGATAATTTTGATGGTTGAAATTATGATATTTAATAGCAATTATCCATTGCTGATAAAATTGTTCTTATTTTCCGTTTTCTCTGCATTCGTGTATTAGTTTCATTGTTTACTCTGATAACATGGCTTAGCAAATTTTAAATGACATACATAATTGAGGTTTTCGGCATTTTACCTATGAAATTATCGCAAAATGATAAAATAAATAAACGTAGCGTCAAAAAATCGCACATTGCTTTTTAGCCTCACATTAATTTTTTTGGTTTCGTCATTTTGAAACACGTGGTATATGAAAGCCTTGGCAATTAGTATAAAATCTTACCAACAAATGCAATTTATGACTTCTTGTCCCTTGTGCCCAGCCTTGGATGATGGGTTGTGTAATGTCTAATAAAAGGGATTTAAGCTATCATAATGGCATGAGCTGACCACCCCCAAACAACGATGAGAATCGTAGAACTTTTTTAAACAATATTGATGGAATTTCAGCAGTATCGTTTCATAAGAACTTTACTAACAACAGTGATAAACCGTAGAGACGGGCATCCATAAATTCAATCACGAGCTGTCAACTTACACCTTACTAGTCATATAATTTATTATATTGTAAGGAGCCTGTATGAAAGCTAAATGATAATACTGATATAATAAATAAAAATCCATTTCCAGATAATCTGACAGCTAGGTGCGTTTGGTACGGGGACTGCCTTAGGAGACTGGGACACCCAGCAGGTGTCCGGAACCGCGGAAATTTAGCAATGGACAAAAAATGTTAACAGGCTCGAAATACGGACACCGTTGAGTACTTTTAGGTTTGATAACTCGTTAATACTATTAGTGCTTTCCTGATTCGTGGTCAAAATATTTACCTGTAAATCGCTACGAGGAAATCCAACGCTGGCAACAAAAAACAGTTTCAATCATTTAATGTTCACTCGTTGCTGGCTCAGGAACTGAGTGAGGAATCACACTCTTTAGTATCAAACGAAGAAAATGGCCTCTTCTTAATCAGAATAGTCAACAAGCTTACTTTACCTCTTTAGTCTTTACATAACCTTATTGACCTGTATTTTATGAATATCCATCAGTTCTGTAAGTTTGAAGACAAAAGGTAAAATGGTTTCATTTTATTTATTTAATTAGAATAGTCAACAAGCTTACTTTACCTCTTTAGACTTTACATAACGTATTATAAAGAATTATGGACTAAAATAAAAAGGTATTATGTAAAGTTACCGATATTGCCTGTTAATTAATAAATGTCTCTGATATATTCCTCCTTTTCCCAAACAAAGAAAAATGAAATATTTATATGAATTTTTTTTACTGTGTGGTAGTAGATATTTGAATAATCATATTGCGTTATATAAAATTAAAGTTTTAATATTAATCCTGCAAGCTTTGTCAGGGATAGTAAACACAGCTTGCAATGCACATATTTTTCATGGTGCTTTTGGCATTGTTATTGCTATTATCATTCTTCAATATTCATAATTTAAGGAGTTGTTTATATTGCTATTATAAGTTGTAAATACTTTGGTATGTGTAATTTCCATGGAAATGCTTACATGACTATTATCAAAACTGTTATTGTATATAATGTACTATATAAGTATTTAAATATTAACTACAATACTGTAAGAAAAATGTCATATTAATATTCCATTAATATCCCCCCCCCCCCCCCCCCCCCCGTGGAATTTTGGCAGGCACGTTAATTTCGGATACCCAACCAATCATTATCTCCCCCTTCAATGACTTTGACACCCCCTGGAAAATTTTCTTCAGACGCCATTGCCCATGGGGAGATGTGGTCAGAAGGCCCAAAAAGGCTTGTGCAAAGTTTCTTTTACATAGTTCTATTTTCAATATTTTTTTAAACTAATCATATTGAAATTTGGCAATTTAATGCAGGACAGTCATAGCAGACGACATCAAAGTCAAAACTGTGCTGGGTCTATGCTACCATTCTCGCTCTCAGCCTAGACCAAGTTATAGGAGATGGGTTTGATCTGGGCGAGGTGTGGAAGGTAACAAAAGAACACAAAGAATGGTGTCCCCATGTCGTGGCCCTATTTCCCAACAGGGAAGACGGGGATAAGTACCGATAAGTAGTATTAATTTAGAAAAAAAAAAATGTAAAATAGAGAAATACACTAGTGGTATGTCATCTAAATTTTGACTTTAAAAGAATGTTTTTGGAGTTCACTTGCATTTATTATATGTTTGCTATCAACTGTGAAAATTGCAAGCCATAATGATGAAAAAATAGATGTTACAGCATTTTGTAAAGAGCATAGTTTTGAGTGCCCTTCTGCAGAATAAACAGAATTAGGCCTTATGTAATTTAGACTAGCAGGGATGTATCCCATATACAATTTAAACTGTCAATATTGGTAGTTGGGCTGGACAGACTTACATTATTTAGACTGATAAATTATAATGGCAGTGACATATTTCATATTTTATGGAATCAATTGTGGTAGTTGAGCAGGGGCGGACCCAGTGATATTTTCTGACAGTCTTCCAAATTATCTTTATTGATCTATCCTCCATTATTGTCCGTCTTTCGACAGAAAAAAATAGATACCTGCCAATGTAAACTTGAAAATCTGACCGTCTTCTGACAGACCCAGAAGACGGTCTCAATCTGCCTCTGGTTGAGTTAGACTGATTTACATTATTTTGACAATTGTTATAGGTGTGAAATTACCATTGTTTAATTTGTAAATAGTGGTAGTTTGGCAGGACTGATCTATATAATTTAGGAGCAATTGAGATAGCTGTGATGTTTACTTTAGCTGAAAAGATCAAATTTTAAGTTAGACTGATTTTAATAATTTGGATGAAACATTTGAAAAAGTGAAACATTTCCCAAAACTTTGCAATTTCGAGTTGCAATGGCAATGTGGATTTACAGTAATAACTCAATCTTTTCAATGGGATGTGACTTTTACATATACTGTATTTTTTAAAGTCATAATGTCTTTAAATTAGAACATTTCTATTTCATTTTAAAATTAAAATGCAGGTTACTCTAAAGTTCTATTCTATGCAGTTATGCACCACAAATGCAATACAGAAATATAATTTTGTGATTCTAATATTATGTATCTGAAAGTTTGATATCTTTTGCCCATTGAAAAGATCCATAATACCCTAACAACCTAAACCACAATTTATTTGCATGAACATGAAAATACTTCTTGCAAGCAACATAATAAAAATTGAGAATAATTTGGCTATGTGTCATTTTTTATTTATTGTTGGGTTATTTTTTTTTACCCCCCAAATTATTTTCAGTATGGCAGAAGATACAAAGAACTGCACATTAGAGCTAATGGAGATTTCTAGTAAAAAATTGGATAAAAGTTTAAATTAATTCAACAAATATTTACAGAGTTACTTATATATCTATTTTCTATGAATTAATATAATAATTAGAAAAGTAGATGAAAAGCATCAAATTGAATCATTACAAACTATTTGTATTTCTATAATTCCTATTGTGTATCAGTACAGAAGTAATATATGCACTCTCAACAATCTTTCACAGATACGTGCCCAAGAGGAAGGTGAGGTACTTGCAGTTTGCAATTTTTCATAGCAGTGCTCGCAACAAGTATCTACATGACTGCATTACAATGTAGTTTAAGCTGTTGCTCATTTGTAGCTGATGGGTTTTGATGCTTTGTTCTCATCCTTGGTCAGAATTTTGATAAACTCATACATCCCACTGCTCCAGAATATGACGAGAAGCAGTACTAGGTCCGATGCTTAGCCAATAAACTTCAGTGTGTTCCATAAATGTAGGCATCTTTACATCTTAGGTAAACCAAAGTTTTGTCTTGTCTTCTCATACCACGTCTAAAGAATGTCTTTATCTCTGAGTATTGATCTCTGACCATCACCTGGGTGGACCTCCATAATTAACATGTTTGACATGCAACTGTACTGGATTAAGGTGAATGTCGTCCTCTTTTTGATGGAGTTGACAAACTCGATCCCTTTCTTTTCTTTGGCACTCCGTCTCCAGCTTTACAAGACCTAGAATTGGATACATAGTATATAATCAATGTTTTCTGTCCAGGTCCAAAGCCAGCATTTTTCAAAAAGTAGAACTTTTTACTGCTACATGTGCTTTACCTTTTTTTCATAAAAGAAAAAAAAATTAACAAGACAGCAAAGCTGTCAAATGTACAGTCAAAAAGCAGAATATAAAGATTTACAAAATAGGCCATTTTGTCAATTTTTGATGCAGTTATAAATAATACTTGAATGCAAAATCAACACAAAAATTTATTCATGCACAACAGGTAACATGAACAATAAGAATATTACTTCAGGCTTCAAATTTAAACACAGAAAATCCCAATATGTGAAAATAGATGACAGTGCATAAAGTAATATTACATATAGCTAAACAGCATAAGTAACATTACTATTTACTAATGATTCCAATGATAATCAATTACTTTGAAACGAAATATTAAGATTCACACTAATCAACATTTATGGCCCGAACAGGGATACTCCAGATTTTTATGAACAGGCACGAGATATAATAGAGTTCAATAATGAAAATTTCTTGATCTGTGGTGACTTTAACCTTACTTTAAACCCTGATCTAGACACAGAACATTATGCAAATGTGAACTAGAGGATCAGAGAGGCGATACCGCCCCTGGATATTGTACCACCAGCTGGAGTAAGCGCATTAGTATGGACCCCCCCACCCCTCCNTTTTGGAAAGCTGTCTGTAGAAATTTTTCCCATAATTCCTTCCGTAGGGTAGATAATTGGCATTGAATTTTCAAAAATTTTGACAAGGGTGCATTTCAACGAGCGTCACGCCCAGGTTAATGCACCGACTGAGACAAAAAAACCTGGGGGTTCAAGTTGAGGTTATATGTGACCTAAATCCAAGAGATGGGGACAGGGGTCCTTGCGGTCTAGGAGGAGAAGCGGTAACGGTGACTTGTATCCAGCGCCAGTACGCGGAGCCGGCGGAGCTTACGGAGCTGGCGGAGCCGGAAGAGACGGGTCGGGACTAAAACCATAAGTACTTCCAGCGTACACGCTGGTGGCACTATTAACCCTAGAGCTTAGCAAAAACTACTTGGAATTATGAATGACCTAAAATATAATTGACTATTTCAGACTTCTCTATCCTGACGAGAGGAGATTCACATGAAGAAGAAGAGATCCCAGAAGGCAGGCTAAACTAGATTTCTTTTTAATTGCAGATAACCTTCAAAATTCAGTTTCTAATATTTTTTATTAATGCATCATACCGATCTGATCATTCATCCGTAATTTTAGAATTAAAGCTTAATAAATTTATTAAGGGCAAAGGCACTTGGGTATTTAACAGTTCCCTCTTAAAAGATGAGGAATATGTGAGTAAAGTGAAGGATATAATTAAGAGAACAAAAGTACAATATGCAATTCCAGTGCACGCTGAAGAAAAAATTCCAGAAATCCCAAACGAACAAATAGATTTCACGATTGATGACTCCCTATTTTTAGAAATGCTTTTAATGGAAATTAGAGGAATGACAATTTCCCACTCCTCTTTCAAGAAAAAACAAAGTGATAGGCAAAAATTAGAACTAGAAAGAGAAATTAATGTAATGGAAATGAATCACCCAAATGAAAATTCTTTGGACGAACTTGAGGCTAAGAGGGACGCGTTGAAAAAAATCAGACAAGAAAAACTAAAAGGAGTCCTCGTCCGATCAAAATGCAGATGGACTGAGGAAGGAGAGAAGCCTACAAAATATTTTTGTTCACTTGAATCCAGAAATTATGTCAATAAAACTATTCAGAATTTAGAACTACCAGACGGAACAATAATATACGATCAAAAACTTATACTAAACGAAGCAAAGTCATTTTATGAACGCCTTTACTCATCAAAAGCTAATCAATTAGAAGAGGTAGACCTAGAATTAATTTTTGCAAATTTAGATATCCCCAAATTAAGTGACCCTGATATGGAATATTTACAAACCGAAATTACCTCAAAGGAACTTTTGAGGGTGCTGAAAAAAATGAAAAATAACAAATCGCCTGGATCTGATGGTTTTACTGCAGAGTTTTAAATTTTTTTTTGGAATGATTTACATAGTTTTCTAATTAGAGCAGTTCATGAAATTTTCATCAAAGGGAAAATGATGGCTACGTAGTCAAAATCTTAGGATTATAACCTGTATTCCAAAAGCTGATAAAATCAGAAAATTTATAAAAAATTGGAGGCCAATAACCCTTTTAAATGTTATTTACAAAATGATCTCGGGCTGTATAGCGGAAAGAATGAAACTCTATCTTGATAAAATTATTTCTAATTCTCAGTCCGGGTTTATTGCCAGAAGATATATTGGGGAAAATACAAGATTGATTTATGATCTAATATATCAGAAAAGAAAAATATTCTTGCTTTACTCATTCTCATCGATTTTGAAAAGGCCTTTGATTCTGTAGATTGGGGCCTCGTTGACAGAGTTTTAGACTTTTTTAATTTTGGGGAAACGATAAAAAAGTGGTTTCATATCCTTAATTACGATAGCAAGGCCTCTATTACACAAAATGGCCACTTGTCGGAGCCTTTCAAAATTTCGAGGGGCTGTCGTCAGGGGGACCCTTTGTTTCCCTATATCTTTCTGCTTTATAATGAGATCCTCGCAATCATGATAAAGAATAACAAAGATATTTGTGGAATAAAACTTGGTGACACCGAATTTAAAATAACCCAGTATGCTGATGACACCACCCTTATATTAGATGGAAATAGGTCTTCTTTCTCAGAATCTTTCGCACACTAGATTATTTCTCAAAAATTTCAGGTCTCCATATCAACAACAGTAAGACTAAACCAGTGTGGATTGGCTCAAGAAAATATAGTCAGATAGTCAGATAGTAAAAGATTATGAATATGGTGGTCTAAAAATGACAGATTTAAGTAAATTCATAACAGCATTAAAATGTACATGGATAAGAAGACTATACCTTAAAAATAATGTATATAACACTATTCTCCAGAGCACCTTTGATTTACAATCTATTTGGAATATTTTTGACTATGGAAATGATTATTTAGATATACTCTTACGCAACTGCAATAATAGTTTTTGGAGAGATGTCATTATCTCCTGGAAAGATGTAACATACGGTATAGAAGATATAAATAGCAATATTGCTCTTGAACCTCTGTGGTATACTAGTAAAGTAAAATTGGGTGGGGTATCAATATTTGATAAAGAATGGTACAGTAAGGGTTTAAGAATAATTGGCGATCTTTTCAATGAAGGGAAAATTTTAACCAAAGCTGAACTGGAAAGGAAATTTGGACTTCAAAGAGTATGTGATCTAAAATATTTTGGAATACGTAACAGTTTAAAATGAAGGTTAAAAGAAAAGAACAATGAAGAAATTTTTGAAGAAATTTTATTTCCTTATATTCCTCAGCCAGTTCAGCTACTTATAATGAGTCGAAATGGGTGTAAAGATTTCTATCAGGTTCTCATGAGTGAAACTCGTGAAAACTTGGTACACGAAAGGAAATGGAACCTAAATCTAAATATAAATATCACTTGGAAGAATGTGTACGAGAATTGTTTTTATGTTACACGAGAAACAAAACTTCAGTGGTTCCAATATAGAATAATTTTTAGAATCTTACCAGTTAGGTCATACTTGAAAAGAATCGGTATTGAGGTGTCAGAAAAATGCTTTATCTGTGGAGCGGAGATGGAAGATTTGCGACATGTATTTTTAAATTGCTATTGAATAAGAAACATTTGGACTGAAATGAAACGCTTGATTGCTAACAAAACTAATGAAAAAATTACACTCTCTGATGAAAATATAATTTTTGGAGTATCCAAAACAAATTTCAAGGCTCTAAATTATATTATTCTCATCTCCAAATTTTATCTATATACCTGTTTTAAAAGAAAAATGCAGCTGACCTTCCCTTCCCTTCTGTTATATATCAAAACAAAATTTGATTTGGAAAAATATATATCTCACAAGAATTTTCAGTTATGCCATTTCCTTACAGAGTGGAGAACCTGGGATTCTATCTTTGACTAGTTATTCTTACAAATTTACTTTACAATGTCATGTTACTTTTTCCCTACTTCCTTCTATGTACAATGTTTGTATGGTGTAATGTGCAGCATCACCTGTATTGTATTGTATTGTACGTAGTCTGGCTATTTACATATATTTCATGTTTAATGTATAGTGAATGTCTTGTGTGTGTGCTTGTGTGTGTGTGTGTGTATGTTTGCATATGTATTTTGTTTGTCTTTCTGTGAATAAAAAAAAAATTTAAAAAAAATTAAGTGAAACAGCTATGTTTCACTCTTGTCTCATACTTTTCAAATAAAATAAAAAACATGTCATACTTTGCTTTGAAACTTTTAGGACTGACTTGTAGGCCTGATATATAGATCAAGATCGAAATTTAGCTTGATTAGTTTATTTTTGTTGACGTAGTGCTGTTTTATTTTGTATATAAATGGGTTTTTATCAGATTCAATTCTTAGACATGTTAACAGTCTAAGTATTGAACTTATTATATTTGTATTTGACATTTTTTGCATCTTAACAATTTTGTAAATTGCTTATAAAAAAATGATGGTAAATCCATTGTTTATTGTGTAATAAAGTCTCACAATAGAAAATAAACTCAAATCATTGCAGTTTGTCAGATTCAATCCCTCACTTTGTTTAGAATCTCAGATTGGAGCAAATTACACATTTAAAATTGTTTTATTGATATTTTTCTGATCTTAACAATTTTGTTAGTTGATCATATAAAAATTATAGTAAATAGGTTATTCTGTATTTTCTAAAAAAAGTGCTGAAAATGGACATTTTTTTCCTCCTTATTGTCTGTACATTTGCCAGGAATGCTGCCTTGTTTGACACTTTGCATTTTAGAAACTAATAGATTTAACAGCACATTAAATCATTTGTAAAAAAAATAACAATTGGACTATTAAAATTATTAATATAACAACACTAGAAATACCTCACAT